TTTGATTGATAATAACACTCTAGCTTCCGATAGCTTTGTCTTGTACTGTTGGAAGAACTTGATACTGCTTCTTTCAAGTAGAATATGCTATGTACCATTCGATAACGAGCATTGGAAGGCGTAGGATTAACACTAATTGAATTTTTTATTAGGTTTTGATGACTCTTTTTGACTGTTTGATGCGGGTGTTGCTGCCATTACTTCCCTGCTACCTCTGCTGTCTACTACTTTGGTTTATTATGTCTGGTGGTTGCTTCTTTGGCCTTTGTCTGGTCTCTGGTGTTGTTCACTCTTCGGTTTTCTATGGTGCCGGTGTTGCTGCTGCTAATCTACTGGTCTTTCCCGGTTTACTGTATTTGTTGTATTCTTGTTCTCTGGTCTACCTCTGGTGACTACCTATACTCTTCTGGTCTATTTCTGGTGGTGATAAGCGGTAAGTAACATTTTTTGGTCTGTGTCTGTTCTCTGCTGATGGCGTTCATTCTATACTTTTTCTATGGTGCTGGTATTGCTGCTGCTGCTGCTGTTGCTGCTGCTAATCTGGTCTTTTCTGGTCTACTGTATTTGTTGCATGCTCGCTCTCTGGTTCATATCCGGTGATTACTTAATATTTGGTCTATCTCTGGTGGTGACAAGTGGTAAGTAACTTCTTTGGTCTGTGTCTGTTCTCTGCTGATGGCGTTCATTCTATACTTTTTCTATGGTGCTGGTATTGCTGGTGTTGCTGCTGCTGCTGCTAATCTGATCTTTTCTGGTCTACTGTACTTGGTGCATGCTCGTTCTCTGGTCTGCCTCCGGTGATTGCCTATACTCTTCTGGTTTATCTGTGGCTGTGGTAAGTGGTAAGTATCTTTTTTCTTCTGGTCGCAATGATATAAAACTTCTTTGAACGCTTATATTATTGCTTCCTTTCTCGTGATAATGCATTCATGATGTTTGCCTTGTTGCGCTTTTTTCTTCTTCTTTTTCGTTTGTTGGTAGTGTTTCCTCTGTAACTTTACATGAAACAATATTAGTCATTATGTTGTATCGCAAACTTATAATACCACTCTTGCTTTTGCAGTTGTGCGTATTTGTGTCATATTGCTTTACATACGACTATTACTACTACCATGCGCGTTGCTCATGTATGCATTTTTCTTGCAACAGCAACGAGCTTTTTTAAACATCTTTGATGTTGTGTTTGTTATGCTTTTCTTTGACTCGCTTCGTGTGAGTGTCTCTTTTCTGCCTACATACTACTATACTCGTATAGTAGTATGTTCTTTTCTTCTATCTTTTATTATTATTATGTTTCTTTGAAGCATACCTTTTTTTTTACGTTGTGGTGGATGTGCCTATCGCTGAAGCTCAACAAGACTTTATCCGAGACTAGGACGCAGATAGGCTGCCTCCACTTGGTTATTGCTACTTACTTTAGTGATGATTGAGAGGCTCAACGCCAGGATATAAAGCTAGGTGGTGTAAGTAAGGCATGCTCTAGCACCTGAGGGAAATTTGATGATAGTTACAGCTATATTGCTATATATATAGCGGAGCTTAAAATTTTGCCTCACATCAAAACAGAGGGAAACCCTCGCAATTTTTTTTTTAGGTCAGCGGAGTTTTCAAGCAATTTGATTGGCTGAGGGATTGAAAGAGGAACGGTTTACAACGGGTTGATTTTCTGTTGATCTGTTATTTATCATGATTTTGTCGTTTGTAATAATAAAAGCGTAATTAAATGGAAACAATTTAAGTCCTTCTTTATTCAAGAGTAATATAAGGTGCAATCATTGAGTTCATTATCCAGTAAATAATTTTATGTGAGCAATGTTTTTTAAAATGTGCCGGTATTTTCCAGGGAATATTATACAATAGGTGGTACTACAGTAGTACGGTACATTAGGTACAGGGTTCTCCCAGTACCAAATGTCCCGCCAAACATGCGATGTACCTGCAATGTAACAGCCGCCCAAACTCAACTTGATTGAAAACCTAAATTCATCGAATAGTTCTCATTCAAATTCATGTTATTTGGATGTATTAATAAAAGCGCTCAAATGTATATCAATAACCATCTAAGCATACTAAAGTAAAGATGCACACTTATCTCTCATATCGTGTGAATGAATCACTCCTGGTCACAGTGTACTCAATCACACCCGTGATGGTCGTAATAGGTGATTTATCAGAAATAAATTATTTTTAAAAAAGAGTATGAAATTAATCAGATAAAGAATGTCGTTTATTACATTGGAAATAACAGGGTTTATATACTATTCGAATTGAGGGATTTGATGTGAGGATAAGGTATTAGATGGGTTGATTTGGGTGATAGGATAATAGATCCAATCTATTATCCTGAACATGCCATGATATGGATCGTAACTGAATCCTGTTTCATGTCAAAGTTTATGATCTGATGTGGTCGGTGCTTGAACTGATTGTTTCTAGTAGGCATTTGGAGATCCGGTTTAGAAATGATACATCAATAGGTTATGGTATCTTTATCGAAATAAAATCAAATCAATAACAAGCATATTCAAATATGACAACTATGCCCTGCTGCCATAGTTGCACAATATCCCAGATAAAGGGTTCCACACTTCAATAACAAACATCACACCTTAAACTGTCAAAGTTACATTTGTTGAGTCTGTAGCGGTTGCGGACATTCAGTAACTCAGCAAGAGTCGGATCATGATTTACATTGTTTCTCACTGTCTACATTAGGACATTAGGTTCGACACAGAAGTGAATCATATAATCGATTATGATGGTCTCTGATAGTGAAGGATAATGATGGCTACAGATTGTATCATCATGGCTGATCGAACGAATCGGATCCTTCAATTGAATGATATTAGATAAACATGATACGATGTATTGACTCAGTTGAAACAACAAGATAGATTGATGATTCATCAGTAATGATCTCTTATAAATAGGATGTGTTTGAATCAGTTAATAAATCTAGAAGTTTTCGTATCTGGTTACTTTTTATAGTCTTCCTTTTTTGAAATCTATCTTAATTTGTTAATACTGTATCTTTGAATACAACAACATTAAATCATGCTATGACGATAGCTCATCCAAGCCCATCAAGGTTACTCAAATCGACCCTTATGGCCAGTGCTCTTGCGTTGATTACCACTTTAAATCAAAAATCAACAACATTTACCAGATGTTAAGCACAAAGAATAAAAGGATTATTATTTGTAGCTTATAAAAAATGTTCAATATTATAAAAATAAGAAAAGACTTACTTGAATAAGATCAGACACAAAAACTAAAGATTTATTGATGAAGCCAAGAGTTATTCTATTTATACTAGGTTCTGAATGCCAAACTAGCAATGTATCTTGTACAATGCCTATCGCATCTGATAAACCTCAGCACCTAGATAGCTGAGATGCACTTTAGTTATCATAGCTTGCCCATGTTTTGCACAGCGCAAACATATCTACCCATCAAGAATATCTTAATCTTTATAGGCACTTGTGGTCTTTCTGGCACAGCAAGCAGTAATGTTGGAAACAAATAAAACAGCATATTTAAAAATGGATGGCATTCCTGTTGTTCCCACCGACAGGAAACCTCCCAAAGAACATGTTGTGGAAGCAATAGCCGTCTAATCGAATCTACAATTTTTATTCTATCCGAGTGTCTACGCTACGGATGGCTCTCTACCTTTACTTTCCTTCGGTGAAAGTCAACCTATGCAGCAGCAGCTCGCGCTACCGATTTCCCTTGCGTATCTTATCCAAATACTGCTATTACTTTCAATTTGACCCTCCACTTACACATGAAAACCCTTTATATTATCTATGGATCTGATTCTTATGTAATGCTCTACATCTATATAAACGTAGCTACTTTGCATACGGCAAGCAGCATACTGGTATTTCCCCTTTTTAGTCCTTAACGTCCTTGATACAGCAAAACCTGAGTGCATTTGAGCTGCGTTTTCTTGCGTTCAAGGCCGTTTTAGATGGTCAAAATAGCACCAAACAATTGCTCTCATCTGGCAGTTGCTCATGGCCGCTATTGCTCAACTTTTTGGGGACCAAAAAAACATGGACAAAATTCGACCAAAACGCATGAGGCACCACTCATGATTTTCATTGAATATCAAACGATCGCGCTTTTTACCTTGATAACGAAGACTTTTACTATGGTATGTATTAAATCAAAATGTTTCTATCGACCAAACGTAACCCCTGAGATCATTTTTGTGGGATCTTGCGATTTAAAATTTCGACTTTTTGGCCAGAAACCTCTTTTCATATTTTCATAAATTACTCAATAAGTTTATTCAAAACACTTACCTTACTTGGTACCATTGAATGCACTTTAAAAAGCATTCCAAGAAAGCTTAATAAGGCATTGGATGATTAGCATATTTTATATAGTCGAATCTGGAAAAATAGTTCGATCAAGTCGAAAGATATCAAAATTTAGCGAATCTAGAGTACACTAAGAATCTGAGTTGAAATTAATTTTGGCAGTTGGTGGGGCTGGCTGGCAAACTCAATGCCATTTCCATCATGAAGGCAATACAGTAATAAATGCTTTTGCAACGTATAGAAAGTAGGTGGCAAATTACATAGCACTACCGCGAGGCATGCTATTCTCCTTGAATTCTATATTTAATAACGCCACTCTATCAACATACCTGTTAGATCAATTTCTTTCCTTTTTGAGGCTTTGAAAGTGTTTAGTAGGGATGATGATCATAAGTTTTTTACGTTACGATGAGCATTTCGACTCTGCGGTAAGGTGGCTGGCGCTACTGCAGACCTTTGGTTAATATTGCATGATTAATAATAATAGTTGAAGTGTTAGAAGAAACTTGGTTGTTGATTAATAGTAATTTAGTATAAAGTCTCTAATCATATATGAACTATGCCTGACAAATGCCTGGCAACTCAGTTTCCATATTAGTAGGGTTATAAAAGTGTCTAAAAATTTATTATGTTGTGCTACTGAAGCTTGTTCTATGGTTTTTTACATGTATGCTACACATTAACAAGTTGATGCTTTGATTTAGCGAGCTCGTACAAACTGTCAAATTCACCAGAGTTGCGGCACATTCTGTAAAAGGAGGACTCGGAATTACTGATCAGTGTATACGGGCTAAGTAAGAGAGATAGTAATTAGTAAGACGCCCCTATAGTATCTCACTTCCATACTTACTTGTCAAATTCGTCAATTCTACCTTGATCCAAGACCAAAATACGATCGTATTCAATTACAGTATGCAATCGATGCGCAATACATAAAATAGTGCTGTCTGAAAACTCCGTGGCAATGGTCTTTTGGATGGCTTTATCCGTCTCAAAGTCAACACTTGCAGTTGCTTCATCCATTAGCACAATACCAGTTCGCTTGAGAAGCGCACGGCCAAGACACAATAACTGGCGCTGGCCTTGAGAAAAGTTCTTACCGCCCTCACTGACCATGGTGGATAAATCCTTGAATACATTGGTATTGACTTCCTGCGTACTGCTGTTGCTTTCACATACACTGTTGGCAGCAGAGGACTGTTGGTCTTCTTCATCGGGCAGTAAATGAACACGACGGAAAGCAGCATAAATGGCTTCATCATCAAACTGATCAAAGGGGTCCATGTTGGAGCGCAGTGTGCCAGAGAACAAGGTAGGGTCTTGTGGGATAATGGTAAGGTTGGAGCGAAGGTCTTCAGTACCCAGATCCTTGATATCAATACCGTCAATGATGATGGAACCCGCAGAGGCTTCGACAAAACGGAAGAAGGAGAGAGCCAGTGTAGATTTGCCGCTGCCAGTTCTACCCACAATACCAATCTTTTCACTTGGCTTAACAGAGAAGGAGAGATCTCGAATAACAGGGTCCAAATCAGCAGCATATCTCACCTCCAAATCCCTGACCTCGATAGCGCCTTGAGTCGGCCATCGAGGGGGAGGACGGATGCTGGTAATGGCAGGTGCTTCTTGGTCAATCTCCATAAACTCCACAATACGCTCAATTGCGTTGAAGCTCATTTCAAGACTCGTGTATTGACGAATACCCCAGAACATGCTGTCAGTGAACATCAGCACAAAGCTCAGGCCAAAACCAGCCAAAGCGACATCCAGTTTACCCAGGTTCCAAAGCGTAAAAGCACAAGCGGCAAAGTTGATGGCAGCAGACGACATGGAGTAGCGTACACTAACCCAACGCGTGACAGACCAAGTGTAAAAGAAGGGTCGCGCATTGGCATCAATGCAATCCATCATGGTGCGCAAAAACTGCTGGGTAGCACCAAAAGCACGGATTGTTGCAACACCTGCAATAGTCTCAGTGAACACGGAAAAGAGAGGAGACCGTGTAACCGAGTCCAAACGCTTCAATTCACGAGAACTGTTCACATAGTCAATGCCAATCAAGACATTAACAATAGTAACCACCACCATGGGCAGAATAAATGTAGGCAGTACACAACATACAGTGACAGCAGCAGAGATGATGGCCAGCCAGTTGATCCAAAAGATCATGAAATCAGTAGGGATTTTGGAATCCACTGTTTCGAAATCCTTGGAGAATCGGTTCAAGATACGGCCCATAGGCGTTGTGTCAAAGAAACGCAAAGGGGCACGGAAGACACGATGAAGCAGACCAGCATACAAACTCTTGTTGGCACGCAGAGCACCCCAATAGAGATAACCGTAACGAAGAGCACCTACAACTACATTGCTCATGGTAATGAGACAGTAGACACCTAAATAGTAGTTGAGATGCAATTGACCATCTGAAGGACCGCTGTGAACAGGCTTTTCAGTGATAGATACAGGTTCAGAAGCACCAGATAAGATATAACTGCCAAACGCGTATGTACGAGGGTTCAGCGCAGCATGAAGAGATACGAATGTCGAGTTGAAGCCATCTTCTAGAGGATAGCGATCATAAGCTTCAGCCCAGGTCTTGACCCACCAGCTTTCACCAATTTCAATAGCACGGCCACCAAAGACAATCAGACACATGATAATCCAGAAGAGTGTTTTACCGACCAAGCCAAAGTAGACTTTGTAGAGTCTGAATTTGACGGCACCAGAAGCACGGCCTTCTTCTTCAATCAGTGTACGAACAGCTGTTTCTTGGTCCTCATCCTCATCAACCATAGGTTTGACGGGTTCTACAGCTTGTACCTCGGCATCTTCTTGCTCAGCTTCTTGGTCTTCTTCCTCAATGATTTGAGCCAGTAAGCCAGATTCACGCAGTTCAGCAGGCGAGCCTACATGGCTAGCACGACCACCAGTGATGTGCACCAAAAGGCCACATCCTTTGAGACACAAACGCACATGATGTGTGACCAGAATACGCGTACGATGCTTCATCAAGGGACCCATCAAACACTGCTCGTACAAGTGTTTAGCCGTATGGGCATCCACAGCGCTCAAGACATCATCCATCAGTACGTTCTTTGCACGAGAATAGACAGCTCTAGCAAGAGCCACACGCGCCTTTTGACCGCCACTCAGTGTGATGCCCTTTTCACCAATTTCAGTGCGATCACCATCTTCCAAAATGGACATGTCTTTGTCCAAGGCACACGCAGAGAGCGTTTTCTTGTAACGAGACTCAATGTAGGGCAAACCAAACAAGATGTTGTTGCGAATAGAGGCGTTTTGCAACCAGGGCGTTTGAGAGACATAAGCTAAAGCGCGATCGAGAATCCAATCTTCAGGGTCAATATCAGCAGTAGCAGAGCCAATCTCAGATTCAATGGAATCTGCAAGAGGGACACGGGGACAAGCAACTTTGCCATCCAACAAGACAGCTTCGCCGAGCAGACCGAGCAACATCAAAGTCTTGCCAGCACCGGTGGCGCCACTAATTAAACTGAGTTCATCGTTGGGGAATTTGGCAGAGATTTCCTTAAGAATAAAGCTGTCTTCCATATTGTCAGTAGCATCGGCATCCGAGGCGTTGGACGCTTTCCAACCAATAGTAGCCTTATCAAAACTCAAATCCACCTTTTGATGAGGATCTTGAGGAACAGCGGATTCAATTTCATCTTCTTCCAAAAACTTTTGGATACGTTTGATGCTGCTATAGGCTTGAATGGACTGGATCATGATCTCAGGAATCACGTTAAGAGCAAATCGAAGTTCGCTAAAGATGCTGATGACCGTGAATGCGATAGGAGCAGAGAGTTCGTTGCCTTGAATTTTGGTGAATACAAAGAAAGAGACCAGCGTAACCAAGATGGGAGCTCTATATGGGGTTTACCAAAATGAGCTGAACAGTGCAATGTCATAATTTTAAACGACTTACCCTTGCCAAACAAGCGAAAAAAGGATACCATTGATGTAAGTTACAGCAAGTTGAGTCAATTCGGCATCTCTGGCTTCCATCACGCGTTTTTCCCAATTGGTTTCCCAGGCAAAAAACTTGATTTGACGAATACCTTGCAGCACTTCTGTCATCAAAGACACACGTTTATCACGCGCCTTCATCAAGCGGTCTTGGGTCTTTGCAAAGTATTTTGAGTTGAAATGATTGACAGGGAGAATAAACACCATGATCAAAAGACCGTAGATACAAGCCATACCAATTAATTGATACAAAAAGTAAATACCAATCACCAGCTCAATAGGGGCAGAGATAATGACAAACCACAAGGCACTGAAGTCAACAATACGGCCAGCATCTGTACCCATCAGATTGACAATAGCACCTGTAGAAGCAGCAGCACCTTCTTCTTCTTCTTCTTCTTTACCCTTGGTCTCGGCAGCATCGCTGTTCTTACCTTTAGCATCTGCCATCGATAAATCACGACGACGAAGCGACTTTCTGTAAATTTCAACATGAAGCATGGATCTGACCTTGGCTTGGACAGCACATGACGCTAGAATGGGTTAGTTAGTTGCATGTAATCATTTTGTTCATTTGACACACCTCACCATAATACCATTGCTGACTCACAAAGATACCCAGAGCGACAATGGAAACACCCATTCCCAAAACAATCAAGACACCATACTGCACAGGATGCTCAAAATCAATACCATCGTTGTAGTCTTGCAAGAACTGAAGCAAACGATTCATGAAAAAGGCAGGCGCATAGTACAATATAGCTGCAAACAAGGATAACCCAACTTGCATGGCGATCGCTCCCGAGTTACCTTTGATCAATCTCAGAATCAAATTGTCTCCACGCGAGGCACCAAATGTATAAAAGAGATTGTGAGCCCGAAAACTGGGTGTCATGGTAGGCAAGTCTTTGTCACTGACGTGCGCCTTTCTGTCAGAGACCACTTGAACAACTTTAGTACACCAATTCAAAAACAAGATGCCAAAAATGGACTCGACATTGATGTTGCACACTTCTCGACCATGTTCATCCAAGAAGGGTGGACCCTGCTTCACTGTCATTGTAACAAAGACGAGATCCAAGCCAAAAATAACAGGCAACAGATAAGGGAGACATTGGATCCAGGTCAAATCTTGCAGGGAAGCGGCTTGCCACAGCTTGTAGACAGAGACGACCCAGGCAACGCAATAGAGAATACAGAGATGCACATTCAGCACCCAGCCCCAGCGATTAGGCAACTGATAACGACGAGACATCAGCGCAAGCACCAAGGCATACAACCATGAGATGAAGATGAACACAGAGGAAGAAATGTACCACATATCGACTTGTTGTTGCTGCTGCTGCTGTTGTTCCACATCTGCCTTGAGGTCCAATGCAGCCAGGACAACCAAGAGAGCGGTGAGATGGGTGATGCGGTTGAGGCGATTCAAGTCAGCGTACGGCACATGAGGAGATCGCTTGACATCCAATTTCAAATGATGTTCAATGGGGTTATCTTCTAATTGAATGCGCTTATGATATAACCCACGCTGTACAGACAGCACAAACGCACTGACACATGCTGTTATCACAAGTGTACCAGAATACCAAGCAATGCTTGGTATCGATGGTATCGCCATGATGTGTATAGGTGTATAAAGCAGGAGAGAAAGAGCATTTAAAAGCTCTCTTTTCCTTCTTTTATAGGGTCGAACCAAAACAAGAATTGAAAAAAAGTTTAACGGCCGAGAATTCGTTCCTAATGTCTATTCTACATCTGATAAAGAAGCTATTATTGGGATGGTTTCAAGTAGACTCATGGACAGATCCATACGACTATACCACCAAGATATCCTGCAGTTACATGCGCTGTTGCTTGACAGCAGAGGGCATTACCTGTACTATACAATAGTGCAATGGTATCCAATGCCACCGCAGTAGATGAATATCACTCTACCGCAGTAGATGAACATCAATCTACCGCAGTAGTAACAAACAGTATTTGATAGTTGCGAAACAAAGATCTACCGTACGTCTATCTATCATCATGTTCCAATGCCAATGGGCTATAGCATGCCATATAATGATCAAGCATACGGCTATAAGTAATGGAATAGCGGACAAGAGTAACTCTCTGCCAGGCTGAGCAACGGTAACTCATGATGATTTTGCACTGCCTCATTATATCGCAAAAACCTCATTATCCCAGGTTACACATCCCTTAATATCAAATGAACAATTACGCTCTGTAAAACACTTGTGGGAAAACCTTGTTGAATAAATCGGATGTCAACAAGCTTTTATTGCCCTAATAAAATGCAATGCTTTTTCTTTGATGTGGTCTGATGCAGTGTGGTCAAGGAAGCGAACCATGATGTTATATGAATGATGAACTGTGGTTGTGGGGGTAGTAGTTGTACTTTTTGTAAAAACCATGATAAAAATTGGGATCAGCTTCCTATACACGGTCAGATTCACTCGTCAGTCTGCATGTCATATCAGGCTAAATTAACATTTACGTCCAACTCACTATCGTCATCGCCATACTCATCATTGAGCTCATCCATCTTCTCGTCCTCCTCGTCCTCTTGTTCTTCTTCAGACATGTCCTGTAGCACATTTTCTGCTGCTGCTGCTGGTGATGGTGCTGGTTTATGCGTGCGTCGTCTCTTTGCGGATCGCTGCTCTGCCTCTGCATTCTCCTCATCATCGTCAATCACAATGACATCTTCCTTACACTTCTTTTCCTGGTTGGTCATAAAAAACTCATGGATAGTATCCAGGGCAGCTCTGCACTGGGGTATTTGCACAGTATCTTGCCATTCCACCTCAAATCGGATAATCATGTCGCCAAATGCGTTCGTTTTGCTACCGTAGATGGGCATGCCCTCGCCCTTTAATCGTCTCTGCGAGTTGGGTCGAATTGTAAAGCCTGGTTCTTGCGTCACAGCCACCTTTCTTCCATCCAAATGTGTAAACAGCCTCTTGTTCTCAAATCCCATGACGGCGTCCTTGAGTGAAATCTTGACAGTCGTACGTAAATTGTCGCCCTCACGTTGGAATACAGCATGTTCCAGGACACGGATGCGAAATATGAGTTTGCCCTTTGTGCCATCTGGTTTCAAGTATCCCTCCTCCCGCACGCGAAGAGCATGATTCTTGTTAATTCCTTTGGGGATCCTGACTCTTCTGCTCTTTGCTCTTTTCGTTTCACCCATACATTTCACACAATCGCGATAGTGCTTGACTCGACCTTGGCCCTTACAGAATACACATGTGATGGGTTCCTGTGTTTTCCTGCTGGCCAATTGAGGGTTAAGCCAACCTGATCCCTCGCATCGTTCACACTGCTTGTATCGTTTGAGGCTTGGGTGACGTTTGTTGCTGGTTGTAGTATGAGTATCTCTGTCCAAAGCCGCCTTCTGTTGTTTACTCACTTTTTACACAGATCGCAGTCAGTGTCTTCAAAGTATTGTAGATCCACCTTGGCTCCGTTGTAGATTTGTTCCAAGGTCAAAGAGCACTCGGTGGTAATGTCAAAATCCATTCCTGAACAACATTTGAATTTTAATCAACCCAATCTACTCGATCAAATGAATGTACACATACTCGGTGGTTTTTCTGGAGGCGGTGGTGATGTTTGTCGCTCTGTACGAAATTTTGGTGGTGGTGGTGGTGGTGGCCGTTGTGCTGAAGGTGGTGGTCCTGGACGAAAAGCTCCAGTGAAAAAGTGATTAAAGAGTTTATCGTAAAACGGATTTCCAGTAAAAGTATCAAAGCCGGACCCGTACTTATCATACGTTGAATAGGTTGATGATGTCTTTGATGATGATGCTGTTGGGTTCTTTCGTTTGTATTCTGATAGTTTTTCTGCGTCGCTTAGTATACTGTAAGCATTGTTTATTTCTTTAAACTATACATTTGACACACTGGATCAATAAATCTGGCTCATGTTGTATCAATTGACAAGCAATTATACCCTTTCTGCGCCGTTTTTGTTCTTGTCTGGATGATATTCTTTTGCCTACACATTTAGGTTACTTTTTATGCAGGTTCTCATACATGATGGACATCTTACTAGAGTTCTATAGGCCTATAAACAATGAAATCAGCTGCTACAATAAATAGAGGACGACTTGGCAAATGTTACAAACCTTCTTGACTTCTATGAGTGTGGCAGTGCTTTGGAGTCCTAGGGCTTTATATAAGTATTCTACCATAACTATGTCTTTTTTAGCGAGTTGGAGAGAGAGAGAGAGAGAGAAAAGAGGGGTTGTAGACAACAATCAATTATTTAATGATCAAGAGATAATAGACTTTTTTTTTGGATTGCTCTCAAGATTTGAATGCTATTAAGACTCCACTTTTGACAACCAAGAACGGCCCGCGTTGATCTGGCATGCCTATAGTAAGAACAACGAGATGAAGAGGTAAATGTTGTGAAGTAGCGTTTAAAAAGTATGGAATGAAAACATACAGTCGCCACAAATCCTGCAGCATTTCACTGCCAAATGACAAGCGTGTTAGCAAAATGTGTATCATTTCTTTACGTCCGGATACTTCACTATGCTTCTTACCCGGACATGATGCCATTCCGAGGTGTGAAAATGCCAGAGTGTGCTTGACATTCACTTGCTGAATGAAAGTTGAGGAGGGAGGGGGGGGGCGAGTTAGGCTCTGAGAAAAGCGTGTGCGTGCCATTACAAAAGAGTCTTATGGATTAGCATCCCTATTTCTGTTCTTTCTCTAAATTTACAATGGTAAAGTACCACACCATCCTATCATATATCATAGAGTCAGAGACAAAACAAAGATGAAGAGGAATGGGATGAGATTTGGATGTCATTGGAGGTTGCAGAGATAAATTATTACATGGATGGATGGATGGATGGATGGATCATTTCAACATATCGCAACATCCCAATATACCGTACCATATACATCCATCAATAGAGACGCCATGGTTATCACGATTGGACATGCATCATTATCAGCCTCAACCACGCTCTCTTTGTTTTGACTCAAACGACGATTATGATCATGATGACTCCATCTCTTACAACATTGTTATGATTAACATGCTACTATCCATCCTATTTAGGCTAAGAAGGACGTTGCCGGTAAGCCCAGCTCAAGCTCTGGAGGTAAGAAGGCCAAGAAGAAGTGGTCTGCCAAGAAGGTCAAGGACAAGGCAAACAACTTGGTCATCCTCGATAAGCCTACCTACGATCGTTTGTTCAAGGAAGTCCCCACCTACAAGCTCATCTCCCAATCTGTCTTGGTTGATCGTCTCAAGTTGAACGGTTCTTTGGCTCGTATTGCTATCCGCGAGCTCGAAGCTCAAGGTTTGATCAAGGCCATCTCTCGTCACCACGCTCAAGTCATCTACACTCGTGCCACCGGTGATGAAAAGAAGCCTGTTGCTTCTGAAGAGTAAATATTTTCTTAGTAAATATGAATATTATATACATAACAAAAAATAAACATTGAAAGATCTATATCTTGTCTTGTTAATTGTTGGATTTAAAAGCGTGGGGGGATGGTTTTATTGGGTCAGTGGATGAAAAGTGGTAGTATGTTACAAAGGCTGGCAACAGCACAATTTCGAGACGGGTATGTCAATGCAATATGCCATGCTATTACATTCTGTTTTTTTCATTTTCATTTTCATTTTTTATATAAAAAAAAAGGTATAGATTGTGCGTACAGTTGGATTAGCGTCAATCAGTTGGAAAGAACCGAGTGATAACTAGGGCCAATGTACCAGCTGATATACAAGATATCAAGCCTTTTTTGCTCGTGGGGATGAGTAGCGCGATATGGCCCATTGATAAAGATTCGCTTATACCACGACTCTGCTCACGCCCGTATTTTAGTTTAAAGAAAAGAAAAAAGAAAACTTTTTCAGCATTTTACTAGCCTTTTTATAAGCAAAACCAACACTGGCATTCAAAATGTTCATTTATTTAGACTGCCATCAAAGATTGGATTTCCATGGTCCACTTTTGCCTCCAGTCTTTTCAATAACTCGAATACCTTCAATGACCATCTCTTTGGAAGCGGCTTTACACATGTCATAGACTGTCAACAAAGCAACACTGGTGGCAGTGAGTGCTTCCATCTCTACACCCGTTTTACCTGATGTTTGCACGGTGGATTCGCATTCAACACTCTTGTTGTCATCGTCCAACCAAAGACGGACATCAATCAGGCCCAATAACAGCGGATGACAGAGGGGAATCAAATTGGAGGTGGCCTTGGCAGCTTGAATACCGGCTATTTGCGCTACTGTGAGTACATTGCCTTTCAATGTATGGATGTGATTTTCTTTCAGCAGTTGGTATGCTTGGTCTGGTAGAATGATGCGGCCAATGGCTTTGGCTTCTCTTTTGGTAGGTACCTTTTCCGTGACAGATACCATTCTTGCTTCACCCGTGTGTGGATCTGTGTGTGTAAGTCTAGGTACCTCATCATCGCTCTTGCTGTTTGAGGAATAGCATCGTGCGCTGTTGAATTGCAACATGGATGTAGGTGGCAATATATGGAGTGGCACAGTGAACTTGGAAGAAACATTTCGGTGCTTGACAACTACAAATGGCCCCATTGACAGAATTAGTTCCACGTTGCATCAGATCAAGACATCATATATCATTACAACAGTAAATCATATACATGAGAGGGGCAAAGATGTTTTAATAAAAGTGAAATGTGTGTTGCTATATGTATATAGGATGCAAGAAGATGAAGGGAATAAATAGTACTGCTGTAATGATATACAAAGTCTCTTGTGTGTATGTTAACCGCCGATAAGAATCATTGGTCTGTTTTTCCTTGAGGCCAGTTCAAACATACCCGCATGCTGCTTCTTTTTCTTTTTCACTGCTGCTCCAATGATCTCTAATAGTTGCTCATCCGTCTTCCCTTGGCGCATCATGTCTCTTAAGGACACCTCGGCATTACCAAACAAGCACACCTTGATGTTGCCATCAGCTGTGATACGTAAACGGTTGCATGTGCCACAGAAATGCTCTGTCATGGATGTGATGAACCCAATTTTACCTTGGTAACCGGGCACTTGGTAATGCTAATGTTCAGAGGGGTAAATGGAGAGCACGTGTGTGCATGTTTTATATATATATATATATATATACCTTGGTCGTATCGTTCGTGCCATCGCCCAACTTGGTTAATATACCGTACATGCTCTCAATGCGATCCATCAATTCTCTATAAGGTACCAACTTGTCTCGATTCCACTTGTTTCCATCAAAAGGCATGTATTCAATAAACCTCACATTGACAGGATTTCCCTTTGTATAAGCGGCGAAATTCAGCACTTCCTGATCATTGATGCCACGCATCACCACAGTGTTGATCTTGACATGTGGCATCCCTAGCCGTACAGCTTCATCAATCGCACCCGTCACTTTATCAAATCCCTTTCTTCTAGTCATGATCTGGAATAAATGTGGATCCAGCGTATCCAAGCTCACATTCAAGGTGTCCAAGCCTCCTTCCACAAGTGCTGGTAACTTTCTTTTCAAGGCAATGCCGTTGGATGTCATGGCGAGGCTTTGTAATCCATGTTGTTTGAGTTGTCCTAAATGTTGCACTAATTCAATGATATCAGGACGCACGGTGGGTTCTCCTCCAGTGAGACGGATCTTAGTAACGCCTTGGCTGACAAATAGTCTGGCAAGACGTAGGATCTCTTCTGTGTTGAGCAATTGGTCGTTGGGTGTCAATGGTACTCCTTCTTCTGGCATGCAATACGTGCCTGGCGAGATTTGCAAATTCATGTGAGATATGAGTAAAAACGCCATGAAATACACTTGGCTTACATCGTAGATTGCAACGTTCTGTCAAGGATATACGAAGGTAATTGTGATGACGGTCGAAGTTGTCAACCAAATGCTTGGAAACAACATGCTTTTCGGTTTCTTCTGGGCAGACAAGATCCGGAACCTACAGTGTATATTTGTCAGCGACCTTGCTTGTCATGGCGTAATCTCGAGAGTGTTTACCAATCTCACAGCTGCTGCCTATACAATGTAATAGATCAGATTAGATGGGGACATACCCGGCAAGGTATTGATCATAGTTACCTGAGTGCTATAGAAGGATCTTTTCAGCGCACTGGACAAGCCCACTCTTAAAATGCTATGGTTGATCAACATGTAAAACTGAGAAAAGCAGGAGAGAAAAAGAAACGTTTAGCAAATGAAGGGTGAGAATTTTAAATCACATTTGCTCCAAACAGAGAGGCTCCGTCTAAAAAAAGAAAAGCTTTATTTGTTACCGAATAAAGAAGATCAGGCTTTGAAGATGCGGAATGGAAGAAAATGCCAGTGTTTATCAGGTTCATCTATAGCTGGGGGAGAAAATATAGATAGGATATGGCTGTGTGTGTGAGCTTGCTTGATAAGAGACGAGACTCCTTATCATTTGATAACACATTGGATGTTCAATACCAGCATTTATCAAGCTTGTGGCACAGACGTCTGTTAACAATGCTAAACGTATAATACTTCAATGCTCTTCTTTTATAATGTCTCTATCTTCAGTCATTGGATGCTATACAGTATCTATTGCTGTAAGTGTTCTCTAAATAATCAGATGTCTATAAAGGAAGCATAAACAACTGTTTGAATTGAAATATAATGAATCAGTGTATTTACGTTGCCCTCATGTTTGTATTTGATATGTTCACGAGGGCTGGCTGTATATGGATCGGTCTGGCGTTACAGTCTTTGTGAGGGCAGAGGAATCTCTTTTAAAAGCTCAGGTCAATTGGGCAAACGTCGTTTCTACCGCACAAATTACAGGGCATACCTCACTGTTGTGGGCTAAAGACAATCAGAATGAAGATGCTAACAGAAAACACGATTTCCAGCATACAAGCATTATTTCTTGATGAACTCTTGCACGTAGTCTCATTGTCTGAGATGATGATTGTACCTGTAGAATTAAACGGTATGCTTACTCAAAAAACAAAGTGGCACTTATGTGCTCTTAAAATTCCTATTCGAGGACAAATGTTTCCTCAGTGCAATTATAATCAGTTAAGATGGAAGTTACAGTGTATCGGCTAATCTCTAATACATTTCTTTATATTCGATCTACTAATACTGACAGATCACTTGTTGCCCTTGCTTAATGTTCAGTGAGAACCTTCCATTGCTTCCCTGTAATAGTTGAACTGGGTAAGCAGCCGTCGCCGCCTTGATCCAACATATTTTGCAGGTAGCCACAACTGAATTGAGTACATCTATTCGCCAGTCTCGACTACGCATTTGCTTTTGCGTGGTTTTCCTGGCAATTTTTTTAATTTTTGACCACTTATTTGATGATTAGATGTTTTAAATTACAAAAAGTGCTAGCTATTGGATGTATAGGTCCAATTAAAGTCATTGAAAACAGTTGATGGGCATGCCTTCCTGATTGATCTTCCTAGCCAAAAATCATTGAATCTTCGCCTCAGATTTTTCATTCGATTTGTTGATTTCAATCTGTCTTCGACTTAATTAATTTAATTTGCCTGATTCGACTATATAAAATGCGATGTTCACCCCATACTTCCTAATACATTCTTGGAGTACTTTTCAAAGCGCATCCAATGGTACCAAGTAAGGCAGATGTTTTTAATAAGATTATTGAGCAATTCATGAAAATGTGAAAAGAGGTTTTTGGCCAAAATGTCGAAATTTTATATAGCAACGTCCCACAGAGATGATTTTAGGGATTACGTTAGATCGATAGAAACATTTTGATTCAAGATATACCGTAACAAAAGTCTTCATTTTCAAGGTGAAAAACGCGATTGTTTGATTTTCAATGAAAACCATGAGGGGCACCTCATGCTTTTTGGTCGATTTTTGGCCATGTTTTTTTTGGGTCCTAAAAAAAGTTGAGCAAAGATATCAGCAAGTAAATGCTAGATGAGAGCAATTATTTGGGGCTCTTCTGACCATCTAAAACGGCCTTGAATGCAAGAAAACGCAGCTCAAATGCACTCAGATTTTGCTGTATTAGGGACACTAAAGGCTAAAAAGGGGAAATACCAGTATACTGCTTGCCCGTATACGAATTAACTACGTGTGTATGGATGTAGAGCATCGCATAATAATCAGATCCACAGATAATATGAAGGGATTTCATGTGTAAGTGGAGGGTCAACATGAACGTAGCAGTGTTTTGATAAAATACGCAAGGACAATCGCTAGCGCGAGCTGCTGCTGTGCAGGTTGGTTCTCACCGAAGCGAAGCGAAGGTAGAAAGCCATCTGAAACATAAAAACTCGTGATATATAATGTAAATCAATATAATGAGATAAGAACTTTCTTCCTTTCATGCGACGTCTAATGACAATACGAAGACCATTTTTGGTGGCTAAACAAGCTAAAAATCCATGTCTCTTTTGCGAACAACTTGAGAGAGTTGACAAGTGTTGCTGTATGCGACGAAACGCATTTGTGTTATTCCAAAGCTAGTGGTGGTGTTAGTGATGGTAGATGGTGTGCGGAAAGCACCCAAACTATACAGGATGTGTGAGCCAGAAGGGGTGTATTTAACATGCCATCCAGAAATTCTCGTTACCTGGCAGATAAAATGCTGCTTTGACCAAGCATTGATGGACATGCGGCTACAGCATGAAATCTAGCAGAGGCTGTAGATAATAATTGTGTAATTCCCCCCCTTGTTAGAGTGTTCAAGAGGGCCTGATTGTAGAGCAAATATCCTGAATCACTACATGATTTCACATATGCTGTAATTATGAGGTAGCGTCAATGTATGTGTCTGCTCTGACAGCAGAGATGGGTGTATCTGGTTCTTGGTGTCTTGATGAATGCCATAGCATACCAGGTATGTACGTTACAAAGCTGTGCGTCTACACAAACGTATGGGAACGTCGATGATTTGTATATACTGCGAATGTTGATATAATAGTAGTGGCAGATTTGATATACAGCGATTGTGAATGAGATGGTGAAGGATCCAAGTAGCACCATTGCAATCATATTCACTCTCATAATATATAGACACATTAATCAAACTGCCAAAAATCCAGCGCTAGATCTCTGTACAGAGAGATCCAATCGAATTGACTCTATATCGCTACTGTACCAGCGTTTACTTATTAAATAGGGGGCTAGTTAACTCTCAAGGCAATTAACAGATGAAACACATTCGGAAAGAGAGTGTAACCATACCTCCCAAACCTCAATTGTGTAAATCACGAAAGAAGAGAGCAAGAAATGCCCAACAAACGCGAGATGAAGGACACTATATGATATAGGTAGAAAGTAATAATACATTTTTACGGTTGATTCTATTCAATTGATACAGAATACAACACATTTTATATCATGAGTTTCCAAGCTACTCTCCTTAACAAGTCTCAAATCTAAAGCAGCTCATTGGCTTGCGAAAGTGGGCTCAATAAACTTTCTTGTACAAAAGGTAAACAAAGCAGCATCAAGAGAAGAGATAGAGAGGATGAAAGGGTGAATGTGAAGCTAAGAAGAACTGGTGTGATTATATGTCATACATATCATTTGAAAGCGAATTCGTTTGGAGATTTCAATGGTGCCACTTTCATGATGCAAAGTAAACGGTAGCTCACGAAATGCTTATGCAAAGCCAAAAAACAAGGGTTTAGATAACCCTGTTTTCAAAGTGTTCAAGCAGAGGAATGGCACGTTTGATTTGATACAGAGAGAGCAGATCTGATGTTGGCCTACTGTTGTCTCCAGTTTCGAATGCAATGAAACGTAAGAACGGACTCACTGAAGAGTACATTTCGCTCAACAAGTGTTTAATTTTCCATATGTTTGATAATCCATAACAGCAATTTGAAGCAAAGATGTATAGAGTGCCAAAAACTCGTAAAGCCATTTTCAAAAGGATCTTGCAATGGCCAAAACTCGTATCATTTATCAATTGTTTTAAGATATTTAGGTATGATATGCTGCAACTAGTGCATTACACATGGTGAGGACAATGATTAAGCATTCAGCCATTTTATTCACGAATAGTACGCATTTATATGTTTTGTGTTTGATTCAAAAAATTTTTCATTTACATTGCAACTTTCAGAGACGGCCCGTGTGCCTCTTCAGGGTAGAACTAGATGGTACACGATCGCCCACTACTAGAGCACCCGCTACTGCTGTCCCTACGGCTTCCTGATGGGAGCTGCACGCACCTCTCTCAGTATCGCTTCACAGAGAAGGAGCTACTACGACCATTCCACTTTCAGAACAGAGAGCCTGAGGAAAAGAAGAAGAAAAGAAATTTAAAGAATGGGCAAAATGGTGGCCTATTTATACTCTTTTTGGCGGCTTGTACAGGGCGTCACAAAGTAATGCAGTCTCCAAGCTTAACTTAATGGCTTGTTTTGTAGTTGTAGAGCGTTGTCGATACCATTATACATGATTAGAATGCTAAAAGTCAATGTAAAGCAACAGGTAGATGCTATTTGCCTCCGTCGGATCAATCGCTTGTACCTGGTACAAAGTCTATATCCGCTCCAAATATTTCAAAGTCAAAACATTGATGCAACACCAACTGGTTGTGTTTCAATGTACACACTCGCCACATTACCGACATTGCGGTTTCCGTGCCTGTAACTAAATTAATTTATAAGACGTTTATGGTTAGCCACCACTCAATCTCAAGTGATTTGGACACACTCGGCCATAATCTACTCATTTAGAGATGCTTTGGTTTCGTCAAAACTATGTTGCCTCCTAATTCTGGAGAATTCTCGCTGTGATTTCCTCAGATGAAGATTGTTTCTACTCTTTAGATTGGCTCTCTACCCTCGCTCTGCTTTGATGAGAGCCACCTTACACATTGACGGATCGTTACGCCAACCGCCTAGATTTATCTCATAAAAATACTGTAAAATTCATCAAATCTTCTCTGAATGAGGACCGATTAATTGACAAATATCACATGGGAAGCCCCCATAACTGTAGATCTGGCTTTTTTTGAGTGCTCCATAGTTGTATCTATCCGGACAATTCATATACGTCCAGATAGTACGCTTGGGTTGCTTCCTGCTACTCAAAAGTATGCAGATCACAGCGAAATTTGGGCACATTTGAGCAGGGATTTCTCGTGTTACAAGTTGTTTTAGACCCTCAGAATAGCACCAAACAATTACTCTCGTCTAGCTCTTACTTTCTGACACCTTTGCTCAACTTTTTTAAGATCGCCAAAAATCCACCAAAATCCATGAGGTATACCTCATGGTTTTCATCGAAAATCAAACGATCGCGATTTTCATCTCAAAAACCAAGACTTTTGCTATAGCATATATCAAGTCAAAATGTTTCTCTGGGTCCAGTGCAGCCCTTGAGATTGTTTGTATGGCATCTTGATATGTAAAATCTCGACATTTTTGCCAAAAACCTCATTTCATGTTTTCATAAATTGCTCCATGAGCTATATCAAGACACCTCTTGTAAATAGCACCATTAGGTGCGCCTTGAAAAATACTTCAAGGATGCTTAAGAGGGTGTTGGAGAATGTGTACAACTTACATGGTCGAATCTGGCAAAATAGGTCGATTGTTGTCGAAAAAGTCTGAAAATCATCAAATCAGGACAGAACGCCAGGCGGCGATTGAATCAATTCTGGCGGCTGGTGGCCAGCCAGCCTTTCTCATGATATCAATCGACGTTTCTGAAGCAAATATGGAGGGAAATGCGAATTGGAGAGTATTATAGCTCTTTCAATCACAACAAAACTGTTTTGACACGTAATTATGTAGTATTTGAAATAAAAGTGCCCAGCAACTATAAATTTTTATATTATGATGATCATTTGGTAGCATAGATGAGTCGGAAACGAGTAGAAATTTCATATTGACCAACCTCCTTGAAAGCTTCTTCCATATTAGCATCAGCGAGAGAAGTAGAGACTTTGTCAACGACATACGAGTTCATGCTGCGAACCACCAAAGCCTCATTGGCTGATGAACAAAGGGTAAGATGTGTGGACTACTAACTTACCCCAGAGATTGATGTTTTTGAATGCAGAACCCGCATTCTTGTATTCGCTAACAAGCTCAAGGATCTCGATAGCTCCTCCTGGCTCGAGGATTCGCTTTATTTTTTTTTTGACAAAAACCAATGTACTGGTCTGTTGGAAATCTCATTACCAAAAAGCGCTGAAATACAAAATCAAATGATTCATCTTTAAAGTAGTCTAGCCCAGTTCCAGCATTCAACAATTGAAACTTGGCATTAGGAGAAACATCTTCAGTGGCAACGACGTCGACCACGTTGGTACCAATGAACTTGGAATTGGGATACAAGCGAGCTATGTTCAATGTCCACCAACCAGGTCCACAGCCAATATCAAGCACCCGGATACCTTGAGTCAACTTGTCATGAAGAGGGGGGATTTGAACAATATAATAGCTCAGTTGATGATGAGTAAATATTGTTCATCATCTTTATAGTCATTGGCTTACCCTCCAGCTATTCTGGCGGTTTAAAACGACTTTTAACACGAGAAATTACGGCTGATATGCATTTAAATTTCGCTGTGAATGACATAGCTTTTAATAGTGAGGCAACACAGGTATATCGAGCACCCATTTACCAATCATTTCCACTTGAAAAGATGTAGATCGTTGCAGAAGAGTCAGACCCACATCAAAAAAAATGCTCATAGACGGCTCGCAAGAAATGATGGAGAGTTAAAATGTGATTTCTCAATATAAACTGGTAATATAGACTTGAGCATGCCAATATTACAACTCAACGCTGATGTATAATCATTGATCGAGTTGCTACTACATCATATGCCTTTGCACAATGCTGCGCATGCAATCCAAATAAACACTCTTTCGGGCCCGGCCTTTATATGGTAACAATTTACAGACATGCAATTATTTGTAGCGTGCAAAATTAGCGTCTTTCATCATTTCAATTGAGCACCAATTGCATCAATTGATGATTTTAAAACACTTGATCATATTACTAGCTCGCTAATGCACGAATATGGTTATTTTCTCTGCAAATGTAACAACAACTTTTCACTGGCATTGTAGTACCTGATACAGAGGATGACAATTAGAAGTCTTGGAAATATCATTGAACACTCACATCATTGCTGTTCTTGTCATTGCTAAACCGAGTCTGTATGTGAATATTCTTGCGCAAACGGATTTCTTGTGCTCCCTTCTCACAATCAAATTGTCTTATCGTGTGATGATGAACCTAAATGCCACAGGAGTACAACGCTACTATCTTCCAGAGATATCGCCCTTTCAAAATGTGCATTAATCCATCTCATAATCCATGATTAAGAGTGTATCCTTCAAAACAGTTTTCCCAAACTTGCCTAGCACACAACGTATTCTCTATTTTTTTTCGCATAGCCTTCCCTATTAAGATTGTTTCTATTTGTCAGCGATCGTGATACAGCCCAACGTAATTGCAATATCTCACAATGGAATAGGAAATAAAGTGAAGTCCAAATAGCCATGTGATGCATTTATGCCAACAACGGATGTTTGTGTCTTATCATTGTTGAAATTGATACGCAAAGCTATCAATTATGTCGCATAAAAGTACGTTCTACCTTATGTATTAGCTTTCAAGGACTTAATTGACACGATATGCAAATCACAAGTCGATGTGTATATAAACAAACCATATTCTGATTTGATGTTCGAGATTTTTTTTTTTTTTTTTTTTGTTTAATTGCCTTTGTATATACTATTATCTCTGATACACTTGTTACCCAAACCAAGCACATCATATAATATACCTTCAGAATGACGAATAGAAATGTGAGTATCATCTTTTGTATTAGGTTTTCGTTCAGACCTCTTTTGATTTGCATTGACAACAAAATGTCGGTGTGATATGAAAGATCTGAGATACAGATGCTTCAATTGCATAAGCGTACCCACATCTGCTAACTTTGCTATTCAAAAATGTAGGTAGCGAATGAGACATCATCTATACACAATCAACCCTCTGTTGAGAAAGTAGATATTAGACATGTGGAAACAAACAACTTGGATGCGGATGCTCAACGGTTGCAAGATCTCGGGTACAAGCAAGAATTCAAACGTGAGATCAGCCTGTTTGTTCAATTTGGGTTTGCTTTTTCAACGATGGCGGTGCTGCCTAGTTGGATGGTAACATTCGGTCCCTGTTTGAGTGCTGGAGGTCCTGCAGCTTTATTTTGGGGTTGGCTTATTGTGTCAACCTTTGTGATGTGTATCGCACTGTCTATGGCCGAAGTCATCTCAGCATTTCCTTTAGCAGGAGGTGTTTATTCGTGGTCGCTCATGCTGAGTGATAAGAAATGGGCACCTTGTTAGTCATGCAATTCCTCTGATTTTATAGCAACTAACTTGAATTTTGTTATAGTCATGGCTTGGATCAATGGATATGCGTATCTCACAGGCTTGATCGCAGTGGTAATGACATTAGCCTACACAGCAGGTGACTTTATCTATGCGATCGCAAATACTTTGAACGAAAATCAGATCAGTTCACAAGGGGCATCTGTTGGCCTTTATATAGGACTCGTAATAGCAGGCACCTTATACAATATTTTGGGCCTGAGGTTCAGTGCATACTTGAACCAATTTATGGTTGTTTGGGTGCTGATTGGAACACTGATTGTTATCATCACCGTTCCTGCTATGGCTCCCACTCATAACACTGCTAAATGGGTTTTCACCAACTTTGTAAACAAGACTGGATATGAGAGTGATGGCTTGGTCTTTTTGATTGGTTTGTTAGCATCTGGATGGGCTCTAGGTATGTATTCAAGTCAAAACGTTATACGACGATGCTAATAACTCGGCATTAGTTGGATACGAATGTGGTGCACAGATTGTCGAAGGCACAAGAAATGCTGCAACTACTGCTCCTAGAGGTATCGTCATCTGCGTGATAGGTGCTGTCTTGCAAGGTTTTGCCTTGATCATTTCTACCTTATTCTCCATCCAAGACATTGATGAGCTGTTGAACTCTGACATGCCAGTTGCTACCTTTTTTCTGAGAGCTACCAACAGCCCTGCTATCACAGCCTTCTTTTTGGTCATCTTGCTAGTTGCTCAAATCGGATCCCTTTGCAATTCAATTCTTGCTGCTGGCAATTTCATGTGGAGTTTATCCCGTGATGGTGTATTGCCTTACTCTAAGTTTCTGTACAATATCTCTGGCGACCGCAGTATTCCCATCAATTGTCTTTTGGTGCAACTTGTCATCTGTATCTTGGTTATTTTGCCTTCATTTGGCTCTGTGGTTTATTGGCAGGCTATTATGAGTGCTGCTGTCATTTCAATTAACGTATCCTACGGTTTACCTTTGCTCTGTCGTCTTATTTGGGTCCGAAATGATATGCCAAAAGGCCCTTTCCATTTGGGCAAGTTTGGATTACCTCTCAACTTTATCAGTGTTATCTGGGCAAGCTTCTTTGCTGTGATTCTTTGCATTCCATCGGCCTCACCTGTAAATCCTGAAAATATGAACTGGTCTTCCCTAATGATCGGTGCTGTCATGTGCTTCTCCATCTTTTTCTGGTTTATTTCTGGTAGACATACCTTCAAAGGTGTCGTTCAATCAACAGATTGATCATGATGGAAATATTTAATGCAACATTACAACTACTATTACTAACTAATAAATGCAGCATATGTTTGTTTAATGACGGAAAATACAGTTTCATATACAATTAGAGGAATTGACCATGCTACTCAGGTTATTATTAGATTCGACGCTTGCCAACTGTCAGATACCAGAAGATACATTGCTCATGCTCCTTGTACAAATTGGAAAGCAAATGTAGTCTTGGGGTCATCACATTAAATCAAAAAATGACTACCAATGGCTATTAAACAAATGGGATCGATTTCATTGAATTCCAAAAAAAGAACAAGAAATCAAAATAAGCCCATGATTCGAGTAATGCTCTATGACATCTCATAACATCATTAGATCAGGAACTCCTGAGATGGAACAGAAGGTGCTGCGCGGAAGATTTCTTGTGGACGAAAGCTACTGTCAGTAGCTCCGAGACAAACGCAATATAGGGAAAACCAAGAAATTGATTGTCTGGGACCCAATGAGTGTGTTGACAATGGGATAAAGCTAGCAATTTCCATAAACTTTCTCTTTTTCTCTTCTATTAATCACTGCGCTTAGAACAATGTCAAGCAACCATAGATACGAACAAGTAAGGTTCAGTATTCAGATTAAATAGCCGTACATGCTAATTCTTGATACAGGTTTCTCTCGAGAATCATGACGAGGAAAACGATTACATTCAAGACAGCAATGATGCGAATAGACCTTCAACCATGCCCCGTCAACGGAGCGACTTGGAAGATACATTCGATATCAACGAAGAGGACGAAGATAATCATTTGCTAGAAACTGAATATCATCAGCTATTACCAGCACCTTCTTCTGGTACAGCTCATCACAGCAATGGGCCTATTCAACAACAATCAAATGATGGTGTATTCTCGAATATGGCGGCTAAACCAGAATCCGACTCTAAAGTGGAGGAAGTACCACCCGTGAGTGAAAATTGAAACAAAAAAAAAAAAAAATCCATGTTTGAAGCTAATCTATTATTCTCTAGACTTATGAAGAAGCTTCAGCTGATGCAACACCACCTTACTGGCAAACAACAATCATTGCACCTGCTGGCATGGGTGATATGGTCTTGGTTGAAGGATTACCAGTGGGTAGCATATTTAGCTTTATGTGGAACTTGATGGGTTAGTGATGTGAATGCTTATTTTTTTTTTTTTTTTTTTTTTTTTTTTTTTTTTTTAAAAAATGATTTGTTATTTACAGTTCTTTCTCTGTAGTTTCTGCTAGTTTCCAGTTAGTAGGATTCATGCTGACTTATTTATTACATACGACACATGCAGCAAAAGATGGTGCTCGTGCTGGTTTAGGTGTATCATTGATTCAGTATGGCTTTTATGTTCGCAGTAGAGGCACTTTGGACGAAGATTTTGACTATGATGGCGAGGGCCATGATACAGTTGGACAAGATGCAGCGCAGGCAGATGTGATTGCATACTTGATGATGTTTATTGGATGGTTCATCATCTTGAGAGCTGTCTCTGATTTCACAAGAGCTCGAAAGATGGAGAAGATCATCACATCTGAACCCAATGTGGATGCCATTGTATAATTCACTCATCGCTCTACTTGTAAAATAGTATAAAAATCATCCATACCCTTTCCTTTCTCCATTTCCCTACTCTTAACTCCAGATCCATCGTCAATGTCCCTTTTAGCATCCAATATACGCATATAACAAATCTCCCACAATAAGATCAATTGATTTGATTTGTCAAGTCGCAGACTTCCAAGTTGTAGCTATAGCTTTAATAAAGATGATGTATATATAAAAAGAAAGAAAAAGAAGTTGAGCAATAATGCATATAAATATGTGGGGTAGGGGTTGCTATAGAAGCAAATGGCTGTTCGTAGTAGCTTTCGATTTACTGTGGGATTGGCACAAATGTCTGGTCTCCTTCTACTAAACTTACTTTCTGGCACTGTTTCTTGCCTCCTTCTCAAGATTTGCCTTAAAAGCCTTCATGAATTCGCTACCAGTCTTGGTACCTAGGATAAATAGGTCAGAATAATGTCAAGCCCCCCCCCATGATTGCTTCAATTTACCTTTGTCTGTGATGGTAGAGACATGGTGATGTGTCTTTTGAGCCATGCGATTGAACAAGGGGCTTGCTAAGAGACGCTCAGTAACGAAGCTAGAGAACCAGAAGTTGACGATTTTTTGGAACATGGCTGTTGATGTGTTGAAGTTGAGAAATTGTAAGAGAGAAAGAAAAAGAAAACCGTGGAAACCATGTTGAATTTAAGAGTTTCGTCCAGGGCTTACTGCCATTCGGGCTAGGTCTTGGAGTCACATTTCGGATGCAGATAAACCAATTACAGACAGATGCACTATACCTTACTCATTATGAAGGAGATCGAGAATCATGTTTATCCTTCAGAGCTAATAATATAATATACCTCTTTACAGCTGATACCATGGTCCAAATACAACTGAGTTATTGTTCTAGCTCATGTCGCCCTTGAGGATACAGTAACGATCGATCAACATGGACAGCTACTATTTGATTAGAAGCATGTAAACTGATGAGGTTCATAGCTAGATGTTTGCTTATTGCATAAAACCAGATTAGTTTTCTGCATTGTTCATGCAGCACCACAGATACAGTTACAATGATTTAAAGATGACTTTATTAAATCAATCAGTTGGTTTTATACAAATTACAAGTACATGGGATTGGAAGCTTGGATCCAAACCTTACATACCGATTTACAAAAAAAAAAAAAAAAAAAAAAAAAAAAAAAAAACGAAAAAAAAAAAGAAAAAGAAAAAAAAAAGGATTAGATAGAAAGAAAAAGTGAATATAAACGGAAAAAGGGATGATTTCGTGTTGATTTTCAAGTGTTGGATTGAGTAAACTTTTTGCTAGTACATTTGTACAAGAAAAAAAAACCCCCCACCAAGAGAAGGAAACAGAGAGAGAGAGAGAGAGAGAGAGAGAGAGAGAGGAGAGATTTATATAGAAAAGAAAATAAAAGAAATCGAATGAATTTGCTCTTATTCTGGGGATCTTCTAAAAACTTATTTACAGTTGGATAAAAAAATTGTACGACTTATGATCTTGAAGATTGACCTCTTTGTTGTTGGTTTTGATGTTGTTGACGACGACCTCCTCCACCTCCACCGCCTCTACTGCCGTTATTGTAATTGCCTCGATATTGTTGTTGTTGATGTCCGTTTTGGTGATACACTTGTTGTTGCTGTGGCTGCTGCTGCTGCTGATGTTGTTGTTGTTGTTGTTGTTGTTGTTGATAGTTAGTATGGCTATTGCTGTTGCTGTATTGAGCTTGATCACGCTGTTGTTGTTGTTGGCGAGTAGCAATGGCTAATTGACGGTTGGGTTGTTGAACTTGGGCATCCTCAAGAGCGTTAGGAGCAACATACAAGTTTTTGTCAATGACAGGAGGAATAGGTTGAATTTCAGTACCCAACTCACGCTCAATCTTGTAAAGATTGAAGCGATCTTCGTACGTAATCAAGTTGATTGCCAAACCCAAATGACCAAAACGACCTGAACGACCAATACGATGCAAATAGGTCTCAGCATTCTTGGGGAAATCAAAGTTGATGACTACATTGACGGCTTGAATATCGATACCACGCGTCAGCAAGTCAGAGCAGACCAAGTTACGACAGACACCGTTTCTGAAGTCATGGAAAACACGGTTACGATGGCTTTGCAACATCTTTGCATGAGAGTAGAAGCAAGAGTATCCTAATTCGGTGATCTTCTTGGCTAAAAGCTCGACACGGTTGGTGGAATTACAAAAGATAATGGATTGATTGATTTGAAGCTATCAAAGAGAGTATGAGTTCAACATGTTACTGCCCCCATCCTATTTATACGACATTACCTTGGAGAACAACGTATTCAAACAGTGGACTTTTTGCTTTTCCTCGACATAGGCATAGTACTGGGTGACACCACGCAAAGTCAACTCGTCCATCAGGTTGATCTCATAGGGCTTGACCAAGTACTTTTCCTTAAAGCTCTTGACAATCATAGGGAAGGTAGCACTGAACAGCATGATTTGTCTATCCTTGGGGAAATGGCTGATTAATTGATCGATAATGGGGGTGAATTCGGGAGACAAGAGTTTATCAGCTTCATCCATGACAAAGGTGGATGCTTCACTGAAATCAGCAACGTTCTTCGAGGCTAAATCGAGAATACGACCAGGAGTACCAACGACGACATGAACAGGCTCACTGAGACGCATGATATCGTCCTTCAAAGTAGTGCCACCAGTAGTAACCATGACCTGGATGTTCAAATGCTTACCGAGATTCTTGCATACTTGAGCAGTCTGAAGAGCCAACTCACGAGTAGGAACGAGTAACAAGGCTTGGATCTTGGCCTTCTTATTGTTGATCTTTTCAAGTGTAGGGATGACAAAAGCAGCAGTTTTACCAGTACCGTTCTTTGCTCTGGCCAAGATGTCTCGACCAGTAAGAGCAATTGGGATAGCTTCTTCTTGGATGGGAGAAGGTCTTTCGAAACCAGCTTCGAAGATACCCATCAAGAGTTCACGCTTCAGGAAGTAGTCCTCAAACTCATTACCTTTGGTGGCAGTAACATCCTATCACAGTACAGTCAGTATACGGATCAGCCCATGTTGTCGCTGCAATCTACCTCTGTTTGAGGCCTCATGTCTTTTTGAGGAAGAGCAAGACTCTTTTTCCAATTATCATTTTCGTGGCTAAATGGTGTTGCTGCTCGTTAAGAAACACGTACTAGATGATTTGCATTTATCGAGCTTGAATTACCTTAGTTGTTGTTGGGAAGCCATGCTATGTCAATTTGTTGTAACTTTATAAGTTTGTTTTCTTTTTTTTTGATGATTTTGTAATTTTCTTGGGAAGATTAAGATCAAGTTTAATGTAAAGAGTAAATGGAAGAAAGAGGTATACGCAAAATAAGGTGAAAAAATTGATAAAAGCTGACATCACAAGCATGAGATGCATTGGATAACCGCAACACATGGATTTATGTAATGATGGTGGTGGAAAAAAGAAAAACGGCACATTTCCCCGGGTAGATCTTCATCTGGGCATACGTCCAGGCACATCATGAAGTATACTGCATCACTTCACACAAATACCTGACCTACAAAGTCTACTTCACATGTCAATCAACATGCCATGCCTTCCATATCGAAAAAAATCATTGGAAACCTAGCCAACATCTGACAAATCAAAGGATGCTCAACTGCAATCCTTTTGACTGAGAAAAAACGGGCATTTAATTGATTACAAATTTCAATCAAGCTTACTAACCTTTCATCCATATAAATACATACACACACACACACACACACACACACTGGTAGACATTTGAAAGCAATCATTACCTTTTCTCTCTTTCGTTTCTCGGAAAAAATCAACCCACCATGAGCTCTACATTATTTACACTCTTCGGTATGAACGTTGTGAGCAATTCTCCAGCACCAGAATGCGACAAGGCCGAAAAAGATCATCCTCCTACTATTCAAGAATACATTGAATTCCTCAAAAACCAAGTATACTCGCCAAGCGCTGTAACGCCTCAACTCGTGCCTGACAGCCATGTCAAGATCCAATGTCAAGTGCGTGCTCGCATTCCTACAACGGAAGGCGGTGAAATGTATCTGTATCTATACAAAAACAACCAAGACAACAAAGAGCATCTAGCGATTGTCTATGGTGATGACATTCGCTCTAAATCTTTGGATCAAACCTGGGAGAATGAAACTATCATGAACCGTATTGTGAGAGGCGCCTACTATGGCAGATTACAGGAAGTGGTGTCAGATGAGAGCCGTGAGCTCAAGTTGACCGAGGATCAGGAGGCTTATTTAGAAGAACAACAGGCAAAAGCCAAAAATGAGTGGAAAGTATTACCCGAGCCTCCCATGGTGCGTATTCATTCAGAGTGTTTTACTGGTGAAACGGTACATTCTGCTCGCTGTGATTGTGGTGAGCAATTGGATAGTGCTATGGCACAAATGCAAGAGGCTGGTCGTGGTGTTATTGTGTACCTCAGACAAGAAGGTAGAGGTATTGGCTTAATGGAAAAATTAAAGTAAGTATTTATAGAGGTATTTGACAGGAAGGTTGTTATGGCAACCAGATTCTACGGTTAGGTTCAGATGGCATGGATATTGATGGATTGTGAATAGGGCATACAATTTGCAAGATTTGGGCCATGATACAGTAGCTGCCAATGTTTTATTGAGACATCCTGCGGATGGCAGAACGTATGGTATCGCTAATGCCATTTTGAAAGATCTCCAGCTATCAAAGGTTCATCTTTTGACCAACAATCCCGACAAAATCAAACAATTGGAGTCATTTGGATCCATCAAGGTGGTTAAGCGTCAACAAATGGTGCCTCGTTCTTGGTCTTCGCCAATCATTTCAGATCTTATCGGTGGTGAAAGTGGAAGTAATTCCAACAGTGCCATGCCATCACCATCCATTACCAAGAGGGAGTTTATTCACAGCAACTTGGAAGGTTCACCAGTGCTCTCTTCTGGTGCATCAACACCTAGAAATGAGATGGATAAATACTTGGCTGTCAAAGTCAAGAAGATGGGACACATCTTGGATTTACCAGATGATTTGGCTTGATTTTTTGTAGAATAAAAAAAATAAACTATATAGACATTTTGTGATTTGGAAGTTGACATCATGATAGGAATATGCTACGCTTTTTCGCTTTTGATCTTGTGCTGCATAAGGTTGTCAATGAATTGTATGCTGAATGGACAGTGGCTTGACGTGATTTGACACTGCCATCCGGAGCAGCTGTGACTAATAATACTATGATTAAGTTTTTTTGCATTTGGGATCAAATGTTGGAGTTTTTTTATATTTTCGATATCCCTCCCCTTCCTATAAAACATTAAATATGGTTCCCAAGAGTAAGTTTGAGGATGCCTCTGATGATTAGCATGGCTGCTGATAGTGCTTTTCATAGAGATCAAGAGTAAGCGTGTCCGCACTGCACACAAGCATAGAATTTTGGGTCGTATTAGAGATCATCATCGTAAGGAACGTAGAGCAGCAAGAAAGAATCCCGGAAAGCACAACAGTAAGTGTCCTTGGATCAATTGAAAGTTACCGCATCTAAGCATATACAATTGATAGAAACCAAGAAGGACCCCGGAATTCCCAATGAATGGCCCTTCAAGGAGGAGCTTTTAAATGAAATCCAAGCACAAAAGAATGAGGTAAACAAAATGGCATTAGGGATTGGAGATAAGGGCAACATGGACTTAGACTGTATATCGTAGGCTGAAGAGGAAAAGTTAAGAAATAAGCAAATACAGCAAGCTGAAAGAGCCAAGGCAAAGAAAGCAGCAAAGAAGGCCGAGGTTGCCGAGAACATTGCTGCTGCAAAAGCTGCTGCTGCCGCTGCTGCCAGAGCTGCAGTTGTAGTGGATAAAAAGCCCAAGAAGACCAGCAAAAAATAAACACTGTACTTATCAACGACAACCACAACACATATATACGCACTCACTCCCTTTTCACTCATCTTACCTTATTGATTTTCAACTGCACACAAATACACACCTACCCACAGCACAACACACAAGTTTCGCTCGCAAATGCTCATCTTTATTACTATACAGATACAATTTCTATTATTATTGCAAGAAATATAACAAAAACATTTAAAAATTACTAGTGTGTGATATTGTCAGTATGCTTATCCGCAAATGGATTGTCTTCATGTGTAGATGTAGCTTTCGCTGTTGTTGCTGATGGTGCTGTTGTTGCAGGCATTTCATTGCGAGTTGGGGTGGAAGGGAAATTTTGGATATCTTCAATAGCTGTCAACACTGTTCTGACAGATTCACTTCGATTTAGACCACTGGTACTTTTGACAGAATTGACTCGCATAATTTGTGGTTTTGCCCTTGCTATTTGAACAGCCTGAAGAGATGTCGCTGTTGCTGTTTGCGGTAAATAATCAGATTGCGTTGTGGAAGTGGATAGGGTGGATTTTCTATCGTCACCATCGTCAAAATCATCGTCTGTTGTTGTGTACGTCGAATATCGTTGTTGAGCATGTTGGATATGTGGCCGTGGTTGTGGCTGTGGTTGCTGCGATAGTCTGGGGTTGTTGTATAAAATCTCAGATATTCTCTTGTTTTGTAGGGCAATTTTGGACTCGAATTCTTCGGGCACATTGCCAGTAATTACAGTATTAGATATGTTGGTATTATTTGAAGTAGTATTAGTGGGTGTATCTGCATTGTAAAGGGGTGTTTGAATAGTGTGGTTGCTGGTGGATGTCATGGATGTCTGTCGTTGCAAGTTACCACCATTGGCAAGGTTGGCTAGTCCAATGTATCTGGATGAGGAGGAGGTGGTTGTGATAGTGGATTGATGCGAGAGAGCTGCAATCACTGCTGGATGTGGTGTTACTTGTTGGGGGCTCTGCAACTGGGATTGATGAAATTTCTCTTGACTTTGCACTATATGAGACGCATTCCCACTCGTGAAAGCGAAAGGCAGCTTGCCTCGTTTGTTCTTTTTGATGTAACAGTAGATGCCAATCCCCACTAAAATACCGAATCCAACGAGACCGCCTAATATACCGCCCACCAAGACACCCGTCTCATTTGACGAACCTTGATCTGCGCTGGATGAAACATTGCTTGATGTAGCTGGTGGCGGTAGACCCAAAGCAGTTCGACTCATACAAAGCAATGCAGGGCAAATACCACAATCTGTCATTGATTTCTTGGTGCACACTTGGTCACTGCTACAGCTGGGCGAACACACCATAGGACAATTTGCTGGCTGGCAATTACTGGAGGAGGTAGTGACATTGGATGCTACAAGTATATGTTAATGGAATGCTGCCGTTGGCTTCACTGATAGCAAGACTCACCTTGTGCGCTGACACGGTGCACTGAAGCACAAACAACCAATAGTATCGGCATCAATTTGTTTCTGCTAACCATTCTATATCAAGTAAGGCCCTGTGTATTATGATGAAAATGGATGGCACCTTTCAAGACAAGAGTCAAATGAAAAAAGAGCTTAAAAAAAAAGGGGGGGCAGAGAAAAAGAAAAGGAAAGAAAGAAAAAGAGTTCCCAATATGAGGAAAAGATTAATTTAATAGCAATAATAGTAATAAAATCAAGTGTAATTGGAGGTAACAATACATTTAAATATAATGAAAATTTACGCAAAATGAGGGGTTCCAGACAATTCCCGCTCTTTTGTTCAACTGTTACACGGTAAACCCTTCTTCTCTACTAGACACGATCCATTTCGTAGCTGTTGTCTTGTCTTGTTCGTCTTGATCTGCCACCGCCAATGCAGCACACACTGACACAGAGCAGTATTGTCACAAAGAAAAGGCAAATGAAGGCTGCTAGTGACATCCAGATCGATGGCCCTGATTTGGTATCAATAATGACAACATCGTCGATCAGACCTCCAAACAAGTTGCTCTTGACCTTGTTGGCGCCGCTCTTGAGCATATTGTAGATGACAATTTGAATGACAAAAGTTGCTAGGCAGAACAAAAACGCAATGGCTGGCACTAGAAAGATCATGATTTTGCGGCACCATCCATGCGAGTGCTTTGCTCTATGTCCACTGAATTGATGATACAGGCTGTAACACAGTAGGATAAAACAAAATATCACAGAGGGGATGAATACACCACCTTGAATGCCAGTCAGTGCTTTATGAACCCAATCAGGTATTTGATTCTGTACCGTTTGTAAAATGCCTGTAGTGTCTACGCAACAGGTACAGGTATAAGCATATCTTTACACATCAGATGGCTTACACCAACACTTACTGTAATGATAGCCAAAGGCCGGTGGCGTACACACAGTTTCGTTTGTGCTTTTGCCTTCGCAAGCAATGAACAATGCCAAAGTAAAATAGTCGGGTAGTCTGTCAGAGATCGTGTTTGTTGCCTTATCCAGTAAATCGTCAAAGAAGCCACCGCTGCTAGGTGGGTTTGTGAGTTCAAGGCGAGCAATGTATACAGATCGTAGACCATTGAAGTTGCCCAGCAGAGCCAAAATTTGTAGGATCAAGCTTGCTAGTATAAGCACGGTTACGATGATATGAATTACTTTTGACATTTGTCGAACAGAAGGAAAAAAAAGAGAAAAGGGCTAAAAGGATGATGGATGAATCCCTTGATCCCTTTATATAGTGCAAGGAGATAAAATGAGACGCAGTGTCACGACATGACTCCATGTAATGGCATATCAAGACGATTAGCAGCAAAACAACAATAACAATTATGTATTTAGTAATGCATTCAGTTAGTAAGGCATCTATATGATATCATTCATTCTGTATCAACAAAGTACCCCAGCAGCATCATTGTGTTACAATATGTCCAAATCATCTATAGACACTATAGTACCTGCAAGAACCAAGAGGATAGATGCATTCGATCAGCTCTACAGTTTAGAGGGAGGGCGTCTTCGGAGTGGCAAAGGCGTCCTCTCTTGAGCATCCTGGTGGAGAAGGGATCGACGGGACACTGAAAAGATTCAAGCACGCATAAAAATAAAGAGAACTAGAGAAATCTATTTTATTGCAAAATAGCTTAAAGCGGTTTAAGCAGCTGTTGAATTCTCGGAATCCACTTTTTAGCTGCTTGGCAAATACATGTAATTATGTGCGCTTTGGCTTTATATACTCACATTTGTAAATACATGTAATGGAACGCTAAGCCAAAAAGAAGCATGACGTAAAAGGTATGCCATTTTGCTTCGGCACTGATCTTGCATGATTCAATGCTTACAAAGGAAGAAGAAGAAAAAAAGGACACAAACCTTTTGAAATGCACACAAAAAGAGACAGTAGCCAAGAGCTTGAGCATAACAAAAACGGTGATTGACCAACTTGATACTAGTAAAATGTTTCTACTAACTTAATGCTAGCATAAAACATTATTGTATGTGTATATACATCCGCGTTTTGATATGTCTGACACTACTTGCCTTGTACTGAAATTTCGGTTGATGAGCAAAGAGAGTGATTTATTCTGATTTGGTGTACGTAAATTTAACGTTTCTTGGCTGGACGTGGTTTGATCTCATCATCTTTTACAGCATGCAGATAAATCTTGTTTGTACTTGATGCTGATGCATGCTTGTATCCCTATATTCGCACATGCTGATGTGAGCTCATGGCCTACACACCAAACCACACACACGTTTATATAGTTACCTTTGACCAATCATAACTTACGCCATAAGCAAAAATGCTGCCATCTTTGTTGAATGCTGTGCTAGTGATTTGTCCATGTGTCTTACTGAACGACTTTAAACGTAATCGCGTATCCTTGTCCCAATAGCTGACTGTACCATCTGCTCCACAAGTCGAAAAAGTACCATAGATGGGGTGAAACTTGATATCGTTGACGGCATAGACGTTCTTGGCATCATCGCGGTGACATTTGAATGTAAAGTTTTTCCTGCACTTGATTGTCAGATGGTGAAACATAGTAAGTGAATCTACACTTACGAGGCATCTTTTGGGTCCAAATACTGAAAGCCTGCTCTTCCCTCGATGGATCCCACAGCATAACCTTTGCTATCTGGATAGCATTTGACGACACGCGTTTGCCATCTCAATGGAGATGTTGATTGCTGTGATATCGCGCATGTCAATACCCTTCACGCCAGCTTCCACTCACTTGTTGCGACTTACCTTAAAAATGACTGTAGGGTTATTCAGGTCAATCACACATATATGCTTTTCAGCAGCTCCAACTACCATTAGGGATCCTTGAGAATCCATGGAATAACAACGCTCTGGTAATTGAACAGTTGCAAGAGACTGTGGCGATCGTGTGTCCCAGTACTTGATCGTTTTGTCCCAGCTACCAGTGGCAATAATGTTGCCTTGGTCCAGAAATTGTATACATTTGACGGTATCCTCGTGTTGCGCAACATGAATCGATTGTCCAGTGGCTACGTCAAGCATTCTGCCTGCTCTGTCTGCTCCACCCGAGGCTACTTTTGTACCATCCTACACAAATGTCAATCTCGTATAGTCACTGATTCAAGTGCTGAATACACACCCCACTCCAGTCAACACATAAGGCTGGCGCTTCGTGTGCAAATGCGACCTTTGGTACCGTTGTTCCTGTTGAATGAACATCGTAGACGCGAACCTGCATGCATGTTCGCGTCAAGTTAGCATGCTATCTTCACCTAATAGTAAGAAAATACTTGCTTGGTTATCCCATGAAGACACGGCTAAAAGGTTGGATTGTGGAGAGAATTCCATGCCTGAAATGCTGTCAGAAGGTGGTGGAGTGACCTATCATGCAGATGGTAAGCCTTTTTCAACAATTGCGTTGTTATGGATGTGTGTGATTACCTCAAAATCCTTATTATCAATCATGTGTCGCGTTGAGCAAAGTGTATCTACCGTGAAGGAAAGGCAGTTTAATTGCTGGAAACTTTTATATTTTCGTTGGCAAGGTACATTGAATAGCTTTCTGTATCACCGTTTTATGATGCTGCGGTTGTATGCTGCGTCGTCGGGAGTCCCGTTATATAAGCAAAGCATCAACGGTGGGATGTACAGCTATTGTCCATTTGCTTGTTCATCTGTTCTTGAAGAGGAACCAACTATGCTCTTCTGTCGAGAAGAATTGCACGAAATGCACTTGTTTGGTATGAATTGCAGTATACCACATACTAGCCGATCAATCTCGCTACACTCAATATCGGCATCGTCCTACAGGCTCTCGCCGAAGACATTCCAAATCAGAGAGAATAAAAATCTGGCATGAAAGTAGGCTTTAAGTAATCAATTGATAGTAAAGAAAAAAAGGCTGTGTCAGAGTCAAGAGGAGGAGGTATTCATTCGCTGATATTGCTCTTGAGATGGCGACATAAAGCGGGCCATGTGTAAATGCAGGGTTTGTGTAAGATCTACAGCGACTTTTTTTGAAATACTGTCATTGCAAAAGACGCTTTTATAGAGAAAAACTCTCAAAAAAAACCATTCGGGCTAAGCAATTGTCCTTTCAAATCCATGATCATTATTATCATCAGAAAAGCATTCGGGTTAGCTCATGGCAGCGCCAAACCTCATTCAAACTCAGTTGATTTTTTTTTTTTTTTTTTTTTGCTCAAGATTGGACAAACTTTGTCTTTTGTCGACTTCTTTAATCTGTTTTATAGCATTCGACTATATGAACTGTGAATATCATTCAATGCTTCATAATACGTTTTTGGAGTACTTTTCAAGGCGCTTCCAATGGTGCCAAGTAAGATAAATGTTTTTATTGAACTTATTGAGCAATTCTAGAAGATATGAAATAAGGTCTTTGACTAAAATGTCAAAGTTTTGCATAGTAAAACCTCATAAAATTAGTTTCAGAGGTTGCTTTGGATCGATAAAAACGTTTTGATTCAAGATATACCATAGTAAAAGTCTTCATTATCAAGATCAAAAATGCGATCGTTTGATTTTCAATGAAAACCATGAGGGGTACCTCATGCTTTTTGGTCGATTTTTGGTCATGTTTTTTTTTGGTCCCAAAAAGTTGAGCAAAAGTGTCAAGAAGTTACTACTACTCAAGTACAATTGTTTGACGTCATTCCGGTAGCTCAGAAAGGTCTACATGTCAAGATATGAAGGCTTGAAAGCCTTCCAATTTGGTTGTAGTTTTGCTTTATAGATTTTATTTGCACGGCATGAATCAAGCCTCTGGTAGCTGTACTTTTCTGTAAGGACAGTTCTGCAGCCTGTGCAACTTCTAATTCAAATAGGAGGCATATTGATTTCGGTAAAACTGATTTATGTAAATTTTGATGCAATATGTTGTTGGTAAGTTTATTAATAATGGAAATGAGAAGCCAAATTTACTGCTTGATTAACTATGGTCTTACATGTTTGCTTCATTACCGTAAAACCCTATTAAAATCAATTTTACCAAAGGTTGCATTGAAAACATAAATCACTCAATCCACAGCCAAATAGCAGGCAAGAAATCACTTGAATCAGATGCGTTATGTTCTTGGAAGAGGAGCTTCTAATCCTGATAAACGTCTATATTTCGCTAAAATCAGCAACCAAAGCATTTTAAAAAATGCTCAACATACCTTAGAGTATCTGTAATAAGCATAATAAGGCTTTAATTGATCCATCATGATGTCTGGTTAGCAATAGAGCAGTTTTCATGAAGCATCCAGATGAGGAACAGCCTGAATCTGCCTTTGAGAAAACAATTGAAATGCCGACAGTATTTTTTTTTCTTCTAGATATTGATCCAGCAACAAAATTTCGACAAACTTAACACTCTTTCATTGATTGTGCCAGAAATCACTAATCAACAATAGGTAGATTTTCTGAATGTTTTTGTTGGAATGGATGCCAGGATTTCAATGATGCAACTTTTAAGAACTTTCACCACTCAAAATTTTGAGTTATTTGCGATGGGAGGAAAACGTGTTTTTTAAGGATGAGTCAATAGCCTACTTATAAACACTTGTTTAAGAAGTTGTATTTGATTTTTTGGTCCGTTGCGATCATTTTCAACTAAAGAATGTCATATATAAAACTGCCATTTTTGGAGTCTAAATTCGACTTGAAGAAAAATAGGTCAGTTTTGCCTGTATACCCTCATGAAAAATGGCCAAAATTCGACCAAAATCTCGTACCAACTTTTTTCTCTGAAAATGCGGCAGATAGTAGGCGCGAGTTCTGGGAAATCGTTTGGTGTAGCTTAGGCTGTTTGAATCGTTCAAAAAAGGCGTCAATTAGGCCCTGAAAGTAGCAAATTTAGGCCCTAATATGACATCGAAAGGTCATTTTATTAGTAGTTCACAATCAGTAGCGCCTCTAAGGTTGTTGAACATGCACTCCATGCAAGTTGTTCGGTTCAAAGAATACTGGCGAGCAGCAGGAAAAATGAGCTTGGGACATGTTGGAGTCATTTTTTTCTCGAAATTTCAGTGAAAAATAGCCTTTTAAAAATCTGTAGTGGTAAGCTCTCATTTTAAACACTGGCTTGAGTTGTGCTGGCTGATATTTAGCCGTGCATTGTGATATTTTGTCATAAAATTGCATCTTGTGCTGTAAAAAAAGAAACTTCAGCATGATTCTGGTAATTGCTATTTGAAGCGCAATGAATTTGTAACACGCTGAGGAATGAATAAGCCGATGCTGGCATTTTTTTGAATCAAGGAGACGAGGCATTGTCGCTTGATCTGGATGTCAACCTTGCACGAGATTCAAAATAACAATACTCAATGCTATCATACCCATGGCAGCTAAAACTTCTCAACTTATCATAATAGGTTTAAGTAAGCTTTTTCATTACTGCCATGTTGACACATTTGTCTATACCCACGGAACACACATGCAAGACATCTTGATAACAATGACTTTTATTTGTAACTTTCCAACAGGATGTGATTGGCTCAATGCGAACGAAAGAATGCCAGTTTTAAACTAGAATGCAGACATTTTGGCAGTTTTGCTTACAATATGTCGCAATAGTGCAACAAACTCCGGCAATGTTTATGCCCATTTCTTGGGATAGCACGCAACTTGCAAAGTAAATGGTGCTACAAAAACAAATAGAGGATGTCGGCAATGACGAAGGGTAGTATTCTATGTTCACAGCTATATCCTATTGCTTTCTACATCTCAAATTATACTCATTCAAGTCAGGATCAGGAAAAAAAACGAAATATCCAAGCAATCTTATTGGCAAATGTAGACGATTGCTAGCCATAAGAGAGGTTGAACTGGTTGGATTGCCACTGGGATTCAATGTATTCCAATACAAAATGTAAAATATGGCATAATCAAAAGCCAATCAAAAGATATTAGATAGAGTCCATTGGACAAGTTATTCCTAGACTTTGAATAGAATTGCGCCATTTCATCAAATATTTTCAAATTAAGCATATTATAAAGGAACCATCTTTTTCATCAAGGCCTGTCTTTTTTTTTTCCCTTCGATCCTTTCACCCTCTCTGATTGATTTGGAGATTTCCCTCCTTTACAACATCTCCCATCACCATCTTCTTCAACATGAATTGCACTACCAAGGTGCCCACCTACTGCTACAGACACAGTCCCGAATTGATCAAGACGAGAAACAAGGATGATATCGATACCATTCAATTAGAAAAGGTGAGACATATAAGATGGCCTTCACTAGATCATGGACTGATACATCATACATAGGAATTGAGCTCATTTTCAGAAGAAAATCAATCACAAATCTCTCAAGTGTGGAATATCTTCCAACAATCCTCAAAGCAACAACGACTTTTGATCTTGAAAGGAATTTTGGCATCTTCATGTACACCTCAACTCTCCTACATTTCCAACGCCGTAAAACCCCTATTGTGCACTGATTTCACTGCTGTGTTTCCACCAGAGATCACCAAACAAATCTTCACCCTATTAGATGCATCCTCCCTCTGCTCTGCTGCTCAAGTCAGTAGACGCTGGAAGTTACTAGCTGATGATGATACCCTTTGGCATCGCATGTGCGAGCAACATATCAACAAGAAATGTACAAAATGCGGTTGGGGTCTCCCTCTCTTACAGAAACGCAAAGTCGTCCGTGTCAGCAAACGTGCTCGCTCTGAACCTCCTTGTGATGAAGAAGCAGCAACCGCTCCTGCTGCCAAGCGTGTGGATCGCCGACCTTGGAAAGATGTCTATAGCGAACGTTTAGTCGTAGAACGCAATTGGAGACGTAACACTGCAACATGTCGAGTTTTTAAGAATGAACACAGCGCTGGTATTAGCTCTCTTCAATTTTGTGAGGCGCAAAACATCTTGATCACTGGTTCTTATGACAAAACTGCTATTGTTTGGAATTTGGAGACAGGACAAGTGTTGCGTACCTTGAAGGGCCATGCTCGTAGTATTCGCACACTTCAATTTGATGATACCAAGCTGGTCACTGGCTCTATGGACAACACGCTTCGTATCTGGAACTATCACACTGGTCAATGCATTCGTACCTTGGAAGGCCATACTGATGGTGTTGTTCATTTGAATTTCAACTGCCGTATCTTGGCTAGTGGTTCTGCCGATTCTACCATCAAGATTTGGAACTTCCATACTGGTGAATGCTTTACGTTGAGTGGTCATACCAAGGCTGTGAACCATGTCAGCATTCAAAAGGACAGTACCACGCTTGTGTCCAGCTCTGAAGATGGCTCTATTCGTATTTGGGATCTTGAGAAGCGTGCTTGTGCTCGTGTTCTTAGTGGCCACATGGCACCTGTTCAGACTGCCATCCCTAGCATGCCTGGCTTCCTACATACCTTCTTCAAGCAACAAACCAAGAAGCCAATCTTCATCAAGCGCATCTCTAGTAGCGGAAGTGGCAGCAGTGACGAAGAAGAGGATGTTGCAGCAAACGCATTGATTCGTCGTCGTGGCAGCAATTCCAGTAACACAAGCGATAACAGCAATAGCAGCACTGTGAGTGATTGCGACCGTTCATCTGAGCAAGTTGTTATCTCTGGCTCTCTGGATAACACTATCAAGGTTTGGTCTCTTGAAACGGGTGAGTGTCTTCAAACTCTTTTTGGCCATGTACAAGGTATCTGGACTTTGGCCTATGATAAGCTTCGCCTGGTATCTGGCTCCAACGATGGATCACTCAAGCTCTGGGACATCGAAAGTGGCTTACCGATGCATTGTCTTGATGGCCACACTTCAGCTGTAACTTCTGTTTCTCTCAGTGATACCAAAGTTGTCAGTGCTGATTGTCAAGGTGAAATTCGTATTTGGGATTTCGGTGTTCAAGCTTAGAATTTCACTTTTTCAACCCCTTTACCTGTAAATACACACTATATCCTTATTTTCAAAAAAAAAAATGTACAATTTCATCTATATCTTATATGCATCACATTAAACACCTATTCCCGTTAATGACAATAAAGCAAAAACACCCTATCAATCTACTTTTTACGAATTTCCATGTGTCGTCGTAATTGCTTGTATTTGTGGTCACCTTTCTGTTTGCACATACGCACACAGCCTTAATTTTTGGTAGCACAACCTGTCTTTGTTGTCAAGGAGAACGAGCAGCCTTTTTCTTTACTGTCTTTTTCAAAAGAATTTCCCTCATGCAGGATCTATCCAGCTATTACGAGTATGAGCAGGTGATATGCATCAGTAAGCTCTCTTTTAATGTTACTGATATGCTGTCATCCTAACACACCATATGTAGCTATTAACGAACACCGAGATTTTCGTATTTATCGAAGCTCCAACAGACTCATAGCATTAGAAGAAATTAAACGCGTACGTATGATCTACCATCTACTTGATTCAGGAACTTAGCACTGTACTACCTGATTAGATGAATGTTGATACGATAATAAACAAACAATATGGTATTTCCGTAAAAAATCTATTCCAAAAGTATTTTCAAATACAAGCACGAAGCGGGGATCAGCAAGCAAAAGACAGCGAGTCTTCTGAGGCGCCCATCATCGACTTTATGGAAGACTTAAGACAGGATCTGATACAAGATAATAGAACCGTGTTTGATGAAAGCCAAATTCTATTTTGTCTGCCTTTGGAATGGACGGAAAAGGTACACGAACAGGCTTTACGCACATTGTTTCTGGCATCAGGATGGATCACCAACCAAGATCACGAGCACCGTCTGATATTCTCAAAACATGTCGAGAGATTAGTGAATTACCTGCAAGACCGAGACGATACCAATAAACAGTTTGAAAGAGAAAGGAGATACCTCTTTTGCTGCATCAACGAGACATCTTTCAAACTGACGTGCTTTCAGATGCAAAGTGCCAAAGAGCTCAGTTCAGTTTCCAGGAAGCTGGCAGCGAGTGATTTTCTACTGACTCCCACATTCTTGGATGAAAAATCAATATCCCTCTCAAATCTTGACACAATGATATACCGCAAAGTGAAGAGTATGATTACACAAGATGTTGTCAGCAACGTACCAGAGAATACCATCCACAATAGACCTGGAGTAACGACGCTGATTGGGAAGATTGTTAGATACATGTCCTACGTTTACATTGCTGTGAGTCTTTATTGGCCGTGATTCAATGTTCATTTATTAACAGACGGTGGTCATCATAGGATCAGGAGGGAAGGTCCAACGATCATATCGATGATGTGCTGTCAGTGCATTCTTCATTCTTTGAATACCAGTACGTGCGCGACTGCCTCAATGGCTGGACCTGCGGCACCTTCATCAATGAAATATTAGACGATGCAGACATCAAGCTCTTTCTACAGCAGAGTATCCAGTCGTTTCGAAATATACTAGAAAAGTACAGCCCTATAAAAAACTCGCCAGAAGGCATACAAGACATCATTCTATACGCTGACTGTGAAAGTAGCAATCCCTTTCACAGAAATCTAATGAGGGACTTGCTGTTAAGAGAGGATATCATTGACCTAAAGAATAATTTTATGGATATCTGTAATGATTTGAGGCTCTGTGAAGGTGCGATGCAAAGGCCGTGCAAAATGATTCAGATAGCGAATGCTTTATTGCCACCCATGATATGGAATGAAGACGGCCAGAGCGAGATTGAACCAAAGCAACATAATCGTCAAGAAGCAGACATCCTACCCTCCAATTCTTTCTATCTCCAATGTTACCTTCATCAGCACCACATCAACTTCCTTTTGAATAAGGTGATAACAGTATCCGTTGTGGATGATACAGAGCAAAAATCAACATTTACAGTGCGAGAGGAGACCATCGACAAGAAGGATCTGCTTGACTTGGCCAGCGATCTTCTTTGGGAACATTACCAAGGATTGGATGCCCAACATATAGGCGATCTTTTCGAATATTGTGACACTCACACACATGATATGTTGTCGATTAGCCACTATTGCCACGTCAAGACCAACTTGAGGCGCCTGATGGATGTCTGGGTAAGTTTGGATCACTGATATGGCAAAAGGCTTCTGACATAACAGTATGTTTCAACTACTAGTTACAAGATGATCCCATTTCGAAAGATGACGCAAACATAGATACCTACCAAAAACTTTTTATCAGTGACAATTGCCAATGCTCCCTAAATATAACGAAGAGAATACTCTTGCAAATAGGGCTGAAGCCTGCAATTGACAATATAGCTGCTATGGTCGTATCAAGTCTTGCCTCTGACCACTTGTTTGGGCTGTATAGCATGGCTGCCTTGATTGTTACGGATAAGATGGACCTGTTTACCGAAGGCTCATACTTTGATTATTATAGAAACATTATATTCCAAGAGTCTGTGCGCAATTATTTACAGGTACATCAGAAGAGACCTGTGGTATTTTTCGATGAAGCTACTTTACTGGCAAGCAGCGCCTTGGGAGGCTGGTCTAAATCTTCAAGGCAAATCCTGGGCAGAGGCGATTATACTCAAATATCAGGCGCCAGCTATGGCATTAGACTGTTTGCGAAAAATGCCACAAAGCAAGGATCATTCAATGGTTTGTACGAATACCATGAAAATGCATACAGAAAGAATAAGGTGTTAGATGTGTTTCCCAACCTCATTGTATTGTCCAAAGGCGATTGCTTGGGCCATGAAGGTGTCGGTAAAACATTGGTATTGCACAACTATGATGTTCGTCGTATCGGTAAGTTTGATGCTCAATACTCAAGCAATACACTAACAGCAATGTACATTGGCGAAAGGTCTTTACTCCCTAGATTCTTCTGAAAGCGATAAGAATTGGCAACGAATCTGGTCCCCTGGCAGTCTTCGCATAAACCGTTCATACCCTCTTACTATCAAGATATCTCCACAAAATTACTCATCAAGTATCAAGGTCGAATTTACGTATGTGAAGCTATCCAAAGGTTCACATCTACATAGTGATTCAATTACAATCCACGAAAGATTGATATTGAGAAACCATTGATCTGAGTCATTTTCAGCAAATGTAGGGAATGAGTGCTTGGCTTCTGGCGTCAAGCTACAGTAGAGATCTTACATAAGGGATACTGCAGTGGCTTCAAAAATACCAATTTGTACTATAAACATACACAGCTCAAACACCATACCATTTTTACAAAATATCTTGTCTTACATTTTGGCATAAATACATGATTTTTCGTATAGCAGATGATCGGTGTGTACCACCAAATACCTTTTTCATGCAATCCAGCAACAACTGCATACTAAATTAATCCGTTTGTGCCACAAACAACTTTGTAACGAATCTATACAAAACTATTTAAACATTTACAGAACTATTGAATAATACAAGTGGTAGCTTTTGGTACAGATAAAGGGCAAAATTACATACATGTGGCTGTGCCTTGTATTCGAATTGACTTTCCAATTCATGACATACAAATGTACTCTGCTTCCAGTGACAATAAATACTATTTAAGCACTTTATCTTTCCAAACTCCAATTATTATAAGTATCATCTTCACTCTTTATTTCCGGATCATTTAGCCAAACAAGAAAGCTTAAAAGTCTTTTGAGCAGTTATAAAAATAGTGATGAAATGTAAGCTACTCATTGTGTTACATGTAAGCTCTGCTTGAAGGTTGTTTACGTTTTGCCTAATTAAGGGTGATGTCTATAAGTTTATCATCATCATGTATATATAGGCTTTATCCTAATTACTTTTCCTCTTCCCAGCTTCAGCCATCATTACAGCATGAACAACTACGATCAATACGCAGATCAACTTTTAAACAGTGTATTCGAAAATGCCAAGCAAACAGCTATGCCATCACCTCCAATTCAGCAAAGCTCTGAAGATCAGTTTTTTAATCAATTGTTGTCACGCATCTCATCACCAGCCCCTTTCAATAGCGCTAGTAATGAATGGCTACTTTTGCAGCAATTGCAGCAACAAAAACAATTGTTAGAAAGGCAGCAGTTACTCTCTGCGCTGAGTCCAGCACTAGCAGGTGTGTCTATTGCTCAGCCTAACACTGACAGCAGCACTAACGTTATGGATACACCATCCTCACCAATTCTAGCAGACCTACAATCGCCTCCTCCTACTACAGCACCCGAAGAAAAGGCCAAAAAGATTGCTCGGGTACCTGTGAATGTGCCATCTCCTGCTCCTACTCATGAGGCAGCAATTGTATCCAAGCCTCACGAAAAAGAAAATGACAAGCCTATTGATGCACTGATCAAAGCAACTGCCGCTGCAGCGTTATCTGGCCATGCCACCTCAACATCCAGAGTGATGCCTGAAAACACAAGGCCAGCACTTCAGAAAAAGAAAAGCTTTTTGAAGAGAACTTGGTCAAGACGAGATTTTAAAGGAAGACTACCGAATCCGCAAGCTCAAAAGCCATTACAGCAGCAGGAGAATGTACCAACTCCAAAGAGGACTGCGTCAGTAAAATCAGTAGCTTATCCACCACAGCAAATGGCAGCCGAAAGGTCTTCATTTTGGAAACCTAGAGAGAAAAAGCCTAAAGGATGGTGGAAAGGAAACCGAGAAGACAAGGCACAACCTCAAGCATACTACGAAGAAGAGATTGAATATGACGAGCATGAGATTCCTGAGTACCAAGAAGAAGATTCCGCAGAAGAAGAAGTACCAGTAATTGCTCCTTCCTCTTCAAAGCAGAAGAGGAGAGTGGTTGTTAAAAGAGTGATTGTGCCTAAAAAGGTGCCTTCGATTAGCAAACCCAAGCGCCCCATGGCTTTCAAGACGCCAACACCAAAAAAACCCAAATCGAAGTCTTCCAAAAAGAAAAAGAATGACGCTACGGTATCTAAGAACTCTGGTACCACTGTAACAGCTCGTAGATCGATGCCATTGTATGTGATGCCACAACAACCAATGTATTATCCTCAACCAATGATGATGCCTTCTGCCCCACAACCTTACATGATGGGAGGTGGAGGTGGGTACTACATGATGCCTGCAAGTGGAATGATGGGGCAATCACCTCTAATGCAACGGCTATGCGACGATACAGATGTCGAGGAAAAGAGACCCACTACTAAATTAAATAGAAAGAAATCAGTTTATAAGTCAAGAGAAATATCCAATGACAAATGTTCCATCATGTAAACATCATATTATAATAAATGTTCAGTCCCTAGACACTTTTACAACCCTACTAATATGGAAACTAAGTTTCTAGGCATCTGTCAGGCCTGGCTCATATGCGATTAATGATTTTACAATCAATCAACAAAAACCACTGTTATTTCTACTCTCTGTTCAATGCTGTCAACGTTTTCTTTGAACAACGGCTCGGAGCCTCAGGGATTTTATTACTTACTGCAGACATTTTATGCAGCCCATGAATCGTCAATGTCCAGACTAACATTGTTAAATATAGAATGCAAGAAAATATTATAATAAACGATAGCGCTATGACTTTCCACCTACTTTCCATACGCTTCAAGTGCATTTACTACTGTATTGCCTTATGAAAAGAGCATTGAGTTTGCCTGCCAGCCTCACCAGCAAAATAAATTCAAACCCCAGACTCATGGTGTGTTCCAGATTGGCCAAATCTTGATGATTTTCGACACGGTCGAACCATTTTTGCAGATTCGACTAAGTAAAATATGATGATCACCCTACGCCTCCTAATACTAGTCCCTGGTGGTAGGGCGAAGTGGTAGAACTCCCGTATGCCAACGGGAGGATCCCCGGTTCAAATCCTGGTGAACGCAAGTTGTTTGATTTTTTTGACGTAGTACTGATGTCCTCGTTTGGTGTTTTGTGCTCTTATCCATGATCTATATTTTGACGATTTCCGCAAGACTGTACTGGCTCTAGGAGTCGCACCTTATTAGTAGTAGATTTCTTTCCCAACTTAGTTCAAAAAATATCTTATTCCCCTTCTTTGCAGACATTGGGTCCACCAACAGTCTTTTCTATCCCTCAGCATGACATTTAAAGGACTTTAAATAAAACCTGGAGCTCGACTCCCCTACAAAAAAAAAAAAAAAAAAACGCCTCCTAATACATTCTTGAAGTACTTTTTAAGGCGCTTCTAATAATGCTAACTGTAACAAATGTTTTGAATGAACTTATTGAGTAATTTATGAAAATATGAAAAGCGGTTTCTGGCCAAAAAGTCGAAATTTTACATAGCACGGCCCCACAAAAATGATTTCAGGGGTTACGTTATATCGATAGCAACATTTTGATTCAATATATACCATAGTAAAAGTCTTCATTTTCAAGGTCAAAAACACGATCGTTTGATTTTCGATGAAAAGCATGAGGGATACCTCATGCTTTTTAGTCGATTTTTGGTCAAGTTTTTTGATTCCCAAAATGTTGAGCAAAGGTGCCAGGAAGCAACTCCTACATGAGAGCAATTGTTTGGTGCTACTCTGACGGGCTAAAACAGCTTTGAACGCAAGAAAACGCAGCTCAAATGCACTCAAATTTTGCTGTATCAGGAACACTAAGGGCTAAAAAGAGGAAATACCAGTATGCTACCTGCCCGTAATTGAATTAGCTACGTGCATATGGATGTAGAGTATCACATAAGAATGAGATTCACAGATAATAGGAATGTTTTTCATGAGTAAGTGGAGGGTCAAAATGAAAGTAGCAGTATTTTGATAGGATACGCAAGGGCAATCGGTAACGTGAGCTGCCGCTGCGCAGGTTGGCTTTCACCGAAGGGAAGCAAAGGCAGGGAGCCAGCCAAAGCGTAGACACACTTGTATAGAATAAAGAGAAAACTATCGTAATATTGCTGTATATTAGCTTATATTAGCAACATATATGCAAACATACATCAGACCAGCGCATTGACCCTCTGTATGACAAGTCTGTCGCGATGCTATGCCGAAATGATCTACGTGAATGAAACTGAGCTAATAAGAAAATCATGATGTGTTTCGCATTTTTCTTTTTTTCTCCTTCTCATTCTACTTTACAGCAGATAAAAGATGGTAAGTATACTGTACTGTACATCACAAATAGAGATAGTCGTAATTGATGGTCTAAATCAACTAGTCCAGAGTATACGACGATATTGAGCAACAGGATCCGTCATTGGATAATGCACCTTTGCTGTCATCCGTCGAAATGGCAGAAGATAAAGTACAACAGGAAGGTTTCTTTTCCAAATGGGTCTGGCTGCCCATCAACGATAGTATCGCATGGCTGGCAAACATGTGTTTATTGGTATTTGTCATGATTACAACGTATATTGGTGGCATTGTCGTGGAGAAACTTTGGTATGATTAATGGCAACGTCTAGTTTACCCTCCACAGCTTCCAGCATACTTTTCAACTATAGCCAACATCATTTAGTACCATACAAATGCAAATACCAAACACTTTGCTTTACCACTGCATCTCCATTCTGCTCCACAAACCCTTTCTGCCGTGTTATGATTGTCTCTGCCTTCTCAACCTCGCCCAACTGTATCACATCTTCTGCAAAATAAAGCCAGCATTTACACTCCAATATGGGATCCTTTAGCTTTTTAGCCAGCTTGATCTGCTCAATGGCCAAAGCACCAGCCTTGTAAGCCTGATTTAAATCAGTTTGTGAGTTTGTTTAGGAGTGCAGCACACAAACAATAGAAACTCACGTATTTGGAGTTGCTCTTCCCCAACGAACAGTAGGCTCCACCCAAAACAGAGTAGTAAACACTTGTTACTGATATCATATGTGCTCTGGATGCAAGACTCCACATTCGTCTGCACCAAGACATGTTGACAGTACATGATCGTTGAACGTAGCTATCTGCATCTAACAATACAAATAATGTTACGGGCTCATCAATGGCGCTGAAGATCGATACATCTACTAATAAGCTAGCACCGAGTAACATTGTACATGCTGCATCAGGCGCCTCTTTTAATCGTTTCTGGATGGCTTCGATGCATTGATAGTCGTAGCAAAAAATGGTGCTCGTATACTTTTGACGTTTCCGATGATGCTTTCCCGTAAGCAAGTCGACAAGATGCGGGTTATTTGATCGTGAAAAGTAAATATTATGATGCTGGTGGTATTTGTCGACTAGAAAAGAAAACAAGTTCAACACCTTTGACGAGAAAAAGCGTTGTCCAGATGATGTGAGTACCTCGCTGCAGTAATCTCTCTGATTCCAGCTTGTGTTGATTAGAGAACACCTGGTTAAATGTGAGCCTCTTTGTGGTGGTGTTAGACATGTAATTTATAGCATCTAAAAAAGAAGTTTTCCATCATAAATGCCAGCACGACAGGATAGCTGCGAAACTGAGATTCAATGCATGTTGCCATGATGAATATGACACCAAAAGAAGCCCCTCATTTGACTCATTTGACTCATTTGACTCATTTGACTCATTTGACTCATTTGACTCATTTGAATTAGAAATTAATGCATGCAAATTCCTGATGTGTGATTTTAGCCATGTTATGAAATGCAAAATGTTACAGCAGCAAGGGGGAGAGATGGTCCTCACTGAAACAAACAAATAAGGTTGCTTTATACTATCGGTACTTGCACTAAAAGATAGATTAAAGAAAAGAGCACGTTTTTCATTACGTTAGATCTACTTGAATGTCGATCCAGTCTTTCAGTGATTTACCAGGTAAAGCATGCCGTCCAGTGTGTATCCATTTGTCATCAGAAATGGAAGGATGTAGTGGTTGTAGTAAAGCGTGATCTACATATGATTTATGCTCTCAGAAAAAAAGAATGGCACTTGACCATGAGGAGGATCTTGTCATAAATAAACACTGCCCTCAAAGGTTACAACTTTACAATATATACATATATAATTTTTTTGCCTGATACAAACAAAATGAATTTAAAAATAGAATCTCTGATTTCAGAATCAAAGATTATTACTACAAATTTGGGTAATTTAATAGCAGTTTATAGAAACTGAAGCAAACGAGTGAAAGAGATCGCGGTGCCGAGAGTATACATCGACTACTTTTGTAGATGAATCAACACGTTCTAATAAATGTATACATCGCAACTAAATAATACATCATTTTTATGCACATTCTTACATGTATATTTTCAATCAATAGAACACAGAGAGGTGTCTACCTTTTTCTATCCATTCTATTTGATTTATTATGGTCATGGCCACGTGAGACACCATCAGTCTTGCCAGTGTAAAGTACAACGCCACTTTTAGTAAGGTTAATTTTTGTTTGACAAATTTTCTAAAAAAGCACCATTATTTGTTGTGTGCGAAATGTAATCTTGTTGTAAGGGATGCAAATCTTTTTCTTTGTATTTTGTTGTTTGCAATTCCAGGTAACTATGGAAACCTTCCTTCTTATCTTGTCCACAGCTACCATGGCAACACGCTACGAAAAAAGATCAGAAAAATGGTTAATAGGAATACCGGTTCTTTGCTTGTGTGATATATAGCTTAATTGGGACACTTGGTGACATTGAAAGAAATCTTTACATTACATGAGGATCTTCAATTTTCGCCATTATTGGACTGGAGAAGCACAAGAAAGGACAGAAAGGGCCTACTTTTCTTCAATTGGTCGAAAGGAATCCTTCTCGATCTTCTTCTTTGGTATTAAATTTCTTAGTTTGGTACAAAAATCAAACATTACAAAAAGGCTGGTTTTCCCTCTTTCTTTTACTCATCTTTTATCCCTTCCTCTTGCCTTCTCGCAACATGAAAACGCACACAACAATGCTACCTTCCATCTCAAATCTATTAATGAATAGCAATGATCCACCTACCCTGAACTTGTCTCCAGCTTCGCCTACATTACTGCCATCTACACCGCCACATTCAGAGAAATCACCTCGCTATCTTACAATAGATCAATACAACATCTCGCCTATACTATCTCCTATTGATACCCCTCGTTCACTGCCTCCATTGCAAGGCGATGATCCACCTCAAAGATTGCGCTTGCCATCACCATCTCCACAGCCAACAAGCCCAGTTTCTCCAAAGCACATGCTGAACAAATGGCCCACACCATCCGTATCCACATCTTCTTCGTCAACATCTACCACATCTACAGCCTCAATGGCATTGGCTTCTCCTCCCCTTCTTTCAGTGGCTGCACCTCAACCTCCCCATCATGTCAGACATCGCACCTTGAGTGAAGATTTACATACACACTATCGTCAGCCTCCACCTTCGTTTGCCTACCATCACCAATCACACCAACAGTATCCACGCTTCACTCAATCTGCATCTCCTTCTCCACCACCTTCGCACCAGGAATTGCAAGTGCCTCAACAAAGACAAAGATCAGTGTCTACATCTCATGATATCCCCAGTACGCAAATCGTATTTGATGCTTCAGGACAGCCTGTCTTGAAAAGAAGACGAGGCAGACCACCTACTATGAGAGATGCCAATAGCTTTGATGGTGGCTGGACATTCTTAGCGCCAACAGTCTGGGATGTCCATGTGTCTGAAGAGCAAAAAGAGAGAGAAATACAAGCAGATCAGAGAATCAGCAATGCACCTGTTTCATTGCCACAGAATACAAACAACGAACATTTAATGAACGATGCCATGAACGCCTTTACAAACTCGAATATGGATACAATACTACATATGCCTCGTAAAAAGAGAGGCAGGAAACCAAAGACACATATTGCCGGCAACTCTTGCTTTGTGTGGAAAGATCTGACATCGACTCGATCCTCAAATAGCAGCGCACCAAAGAAATAAACGCCACCATTCTATGTATTACGCTTGTGTATATGTATATTTATCTATTTCATTGACATTCATTTGGAAGCCGAGCAAGAGAGAACATTTGGAAATCAAGGAATTCAATTTGTAACACAACCCAACATCTAGCGAGGAGACGCATGCTCTAAATTTTGATAAATTTATGCTTCTTTTTTTCTTTTTATATCTATGCTTCATATGTACTATACTATTTTTCCTCGGTTTATATGAATTCTATCCACATTATATGCCCCAATCTATTTTTCCTTTGCTTCCTTCCTTTTTTCCAGTAATGAATAAAATTATTCTGTCTTTCTCATCGCACGCATCAGAAATATAAATCAGGGGTAGCATTCCATTCGCTGTGAGGTGATGCGCAACCAAGCAAAACTCAGCATTTAGAACTGATCATTTTATACCTTGGCTTGTAAATTAACCTCATAACAGAAATCATAGGGCCGAATTTCTAATTATCGTCTTCGGCTTTGATTTAGAGCAATCTATAGAGAACAACCTTAGAGCAAATTTTCACAGAATAGCCAGATTTGATGTCTCGGATTTTCTATCTAGTTTTCAAGGGACGACATCATGGATGATGAATAGTTTTTGGAGATGAGAGAATATTCGTCCTTTTTTTTTTTTTTTGCCCACCTTCTTTATATGAATCGAGGAATCCTATTGAGCCAATTCAAGAGGCTATACTCTTCCTGCGCTTCCAAAACGGTGCCCCTGTCTTTCACCAAGTACGATGTTCCTCCAAAAAATAAATTAATTAGCAGAAAACAGCCCCTTATCATCTGTCATGGCTTATTTGGTTCCAAACAGAACTGGAGGTCATTAGCAAAATCCATTAGTTTGCAATGTAATTGCGAAGTGTACACCATTGTGAGTTCATGCATAGTGTAGGCTGATTCTGTACTCATAGCTTTATTTAGGATGCTCGAAATCATGGCGAAAGTCCCCACAATGATCATCACACATACGATTTGATGGGAAGCGATTTAATTCAATTCATTCAAGACCACAATATCGAAAATCCCATGTTGATGGGTCATTCCATGTACGTCAATGCAATCGTTTATATAGATCTGTCAAATAGCTCAATCTGAAACGAACAGGGGGGGCAAAGTTATGATGAATGTCTCTTTAAGACAACCACAGCTCCCATCCAAGCTCATTGTAATTGATATGGCACCCATCAAGCTTCAGCTTACTCGAGAATACTCGGACCACATTGAAGCCATGCGAGAGATTCAATCTAAACAGCTCACCAAACAAAAGGAGGCTGATGAGATCTTGCAAAAGTTCGAACCTGATTTGATTGTACGTCAATTCTTACTAACCAATCTCAAAAAGTCCAGATCTACAGGCGTTTATCAATTTCGAATTCCATATGACACCTTGGGGCATGCCTTGAGTCAGATGGGCGGGTTCTCCTTCGAGATGCAACCTCTGCCTGAATCAAGACAATATCAAGGTCCCACTTTATTCATCACTGGCGGCAACAGCCCCTTCCGCAAGCAATTTGTGGATCATCCAGAGCTGATCAAAGCTCAATTCCCAAATTCTGTAATCCAGAATATTGAAGGCGCAGGACATTGGGGTAAGAAAAGCACAAAATGTCTAGTATTTGTAGTCTAATTTTCATTTTGCATGTATCTCCAGTGCAAACTGAAAAACCTCTAGAATTTTTGGAATTAGCCACAGGCTTTATTAATAAAGACAATTAGATTGGGCTTGTATCCACTGTTGTGCTTGCTGCTGTAGCCGTAGAAGAGGAGGAGGGAGGAGAGATGTTTGAGCTTGATGTCATTGCAGATCTTTGTAATGCTGAGTGAGGAGTGTTTGACGAAGAAGATGAATCAAAAATGCCTGGTATGGGTCTGCTGAGAGCAGTTTGAACAGCGGACGGATTCACTGGACAGTCTTTGTGGATCATAAGCAAGGTTTTTAATCGAATAACTTCGTCCCGTAATGCGTTAGCCTGCATATGAAGCTGCTCATTGTCTGCCGCAAGGTATTCCACCTTCGCTTGAAGATTTTGTAGCCACTGTTTTTTGCGCTGTCTACATTTCAATGCGGCTATATACCATGGTGATAAATGTTCGGGTTCCTTACTGTATGTGGTGTGACATTCTTACCTATTCTATTTCGTTCTAAAAAGTTCTTCCGCTTCTCTTCATCCTCTGGCTGCCCAACACTTGATTTCTTTTGTCGTCTTGGTTTCTTGCTGGTAGGTTTTGATGGAGTAGAGATGATGAACGACGAATCTTCTGAACAGCTGCTGTTGGCAGTAGATACTTGTCTTGATCTTTTTGGCTGTGTAGGCGCTTGATGTGTTGTAGTAATTGATGCTGTGTTCAATGTTGATGCTGTCGAATTGTAAACTAAGATGAAAATAGCAACATTTAGCTTAACAATACAATATCCACAAATAATTAATTTACCCGTTGTGTTTGTATGAATGGGTCGGCTCAGCATAGAAGGCGAAAGAATATCAGGCCTTAAACTGCTATCCCATTCATTTTCATTATTGATGTAGGATGTTTCCATTGTTTGAACATTGGGCAAATCAGCAGGACGTTGCTGTTGCTGCTGCTGCTTTGTTTGACTCTTCTCAACGCTCTCGAAACTTTGCTCAAACGGATTGGGTTCTTCTTCAAGCTTTGTTGTCGGCAGTGCTGCATAAGTCGGGGGAAATACGGCTTCTTCGGCTGAACTGGGGCCAGAGTGACCATCCGTATTGTAACTGTTCTCGGCTAACAAATCTATCAAGCGTAAAGAGCATTCTAGCATTAATACAAAGCGAGGATCATTGCATACGATCTGTCCTACTGACCAGGTACAGCAGCATTTTCCAACAATATGTCGCTGCTTTGAGTTTGCTCATGAGGCATTGGGGCATACACCATCAACATTGGATCAATGTCGGGCTGTATTACTTTGTTGTTGCTGTCCACAGTCAGTGAATTAGTTGATAACATTTGGAATAGATAGTAAGCGAAAGGTATCGACAACGTTTAGTTAAAGTATAGAGAAATTTTAGGAGAAAAACAAAAAAAAAAAAAAAAAAAAAAAAAAAAAAAAAAAAGAGGAAAGAAAAGCAAAAAAGGATCCCTCTTTTACTCTTGTCCAGAAATAAACCTGTGTTACAGACGCCTTTCATGTTGTGAATGTATATTTTAAATAGCACGTGAGCGGAAAGCTTATGTCTGTAGCGTATCCGCGCAGCATCGATAGCTTGCAGTAAGCATAGTCTGCATTATAGCACTGCCAATACAATCTGTTGTTGTATAGTAATACTTGTTTGTGCAGGCCATCACTCGTGTAATCTGATCTGTGTGTTGCAAGAGAATTCGAGATAAGATGTTGCTGAGGCCCCGCATCTACGAAGAAGGATTCAACCTTATTTACTCAAGTGATTGTTTCAACTTTCCATCTTCTATTCGATTGCATGAGAGATTCTTATATCATAACGTTTTATTTTCCTGACTCAAGGGAAAGGTCATCATCTCACTTCAGGCTTGTGTTCCGTGACTCGATAAGAAGCTGAACAGACATTTATTTGTTCTGGTTATTGTCCTGCATTTGCATTTTTTTCTTTTTCTCTTGACCTACCATCTTAATATGAGTGACGCAAACGAAAGTAGCAATGCAAACTCGCTTCAGGTGCCTGGCATTGGGGCAACAAACAACAGATCGAACAATGAGACGTTGCCTTCTTCATCAACACAAACATCCATGATTGAAGTTCCTCCTCGACTCGATTTCGAAAATCCAAAGAAATCAAAAACCATGGCCGAATTCCTTGCTTCCATGGACAACTACGCGCCCATTGTAAGCGTATAGATAAGCATTTGACCATCAAATATATTGACATCTCGACTCTAGATACCCGATGCAGTAACTGACTATTATCTGAGCAAATCTGGCTTCGATTGCGACGACGTTCGAATGTAAGGTGCACGAAAACAACTCGTTTTTAAATATGTAGACTCACATGTAATTAGTAAACGATTGTTAGCTTTGGCTACTCAGAAATTTGTTGCCGATATAGCCACAGATTCATTTCAGTTCTGCAAGGTTAGACAGTCTGGGAATAGAAAGTCTGGGAAGGTATACAATGACTGGTTGAAAAACGTAGATCATTCAATTGAACCGTCTTTGCTTTGGTAGGAACGTAAAACTGTATTGACCATGGAAGATCTTACAGCTGCCTTGGCTGATTATGGTGTTAATATCAAAAAGCCGGACTATTATTCCTAAGCTATCGTACGTATATTACACACTTACATTGTAGATAAATCTCTTTCTTTTTCATGCCAAATTTTCAGTGGCCTCTGTGTATGCGATTAGTAGACATGGATTGAACAGATACGGATTTAATTGGAGTGACATGAGGAAAGTCCAGGATGGATTTTATAAAGGGCAGAGCTTGCAGAGGCTTACATTGTAAAACTATCTGCGTTGAAGGATTGCATAATTGAGATTGTTTCCATTGAATGTTTTACACATAAATTGATGTGGCAGTAAATTCAGAAGTAGACAATTGTATGTAATGTATGGTTCAGTGTGTATCCGATTCGAAACGCCATAGTATATGAACATGTGCTTCTTCGCAAACAGTTTTCATTAAAAAACAATCCCTTCGATGCAACTAACAACATTTCTACTCCAACGTTGACAGATCTACGATCAAAAGCGGACACAAACGATATTTTGATTGATGAGTATTAAAAACACGCAATTAGGAACAGACTCGAGCGTATCAGATGTTCTGTACGTAAAGGAATATAACCCTGTTTGTACATCAACAAGAAGACACCATAAAACCCTTGATAGGGATTCCATATCGTTTCGTCGCCTCATGCAGCACATAAAACAGTCTGAATATGACTCGCTAAAGGGATGAACTTAAAATTTGCAAACACAGGGGCAATACCTCGGAATCATTGCTTCTAGCTTTTCTCTATTCCCTGATTTCTCTTTTGATTTCTCTTTGAATTTCGATTTTGAAATTCGAGCTTTGAAAGTAGAATATTATTATAGCGAATTTTTTCGGAGAAGACGATGGTGCAATTGGATTTTAGATAGGATGCATTGATGATGAGAAACTGGCGATATTTGAAATTTGCAAATTTTAGACAGATGCCTTTAATAAAACTTTTTAGAATACTATATGAATGTGGGCTGTAGGTCTATTAAAAGTTGTAGAGAGTACTTTGGTTGACTTGAACGCGATTCATGTGAGATTATTGAGGGCGATACCGATGAGTAATGAGGAAAGATAGTAAAAATGATCAATTTTCAAAGGGCTGTACCGCTGGATTCTACTAAGTGAAGGAGAGCTTCAAGCTTAATAGCTTCTGTTTCTTTTTCAACTCTCTATACGATGGTATAGTTATTATCGATAAATAAAAAAAAAAAGTTGAATGTCCCCTGCTTGTAGCTCATAAAATATATAATTTTGAGCAAATTTATAAAGGGAACGTACATCTGGTACTTAAAACCCTTATATTATAATGGATATAACATAGAGCTATCGAATGGTCTTTGTTTTGTGTGAATCTAGTGAGTATTTGTCGAGATATGGTCAAAAAAGAGTATCATGCAAAATTAAGGATTTTCCTTCAAGATCTGCCTGTGATAGCAAGCAAAAAAATCTGGTGACGATTTTTTGATCAGGACAATATTTTCAATATTTCACGATAGAGTCATGCCAGAGCTTCAAGCAATAGCTCATTCGATAGGAAATTTTTTGGTCTACAATGCTTGGTAATGCTTAACAAAATGTTTTGATGACAGATACTGATTAGTGTTTAGAAAACAGTCAAAAAATTGCAAAAACAATCGTACCAAATATCAGGTGAACAATGTGCACCAGAGACTTGATATAAATACCATTATATTCTCCTTTGAATTCTCTACAAGTTTCATATAAGTTTGAAGGGGTGGTTACTATCAAGAAACGCGTAATTTTAAAGTCGATAGATTTCGGAATCCCATGGATCATCATTCAGGATATTAGAAATTGAAGCTCCGTTGACCTTCCGCATGTGTACACCTCACAAGGATGAATTTGACCAAGCATTTTATAAATCGGAGCGTACGAAAAGGGCCATATTAACTTGCTAGTTTTAAGTTATCAATAGATACATGACATGTTGAAGAATTTTGTTGTTGAGATTAGACAACTGTAGCATGCTTTATTCAAGAATAATAACTTTTCCAATTTAAAGTATGTATATTCCCCCGCTTAAAAATAGCATCTCCAATGTTGATTATCTCATGAAGCAGGAGGCCTGACAACAATAGTAGTACATTTGTGTCGTAACTATCTATGCGTTTCGTCAAAATGTTAAAGTAGTAAAAATATTAATGCTGACTATTATACTCCATTAGCAACGTTTTTTAAGTCATAATTGATTTATTGTATTACCTATTGTTATAAAGTGGTTTATTGTAGTGCGAATAGTAAGGGTGGAGATAGAGTAAATATATAGATCAACAGCCAAAGCAGATTCGTCTATAGAAATGAGCAACAGGTTTATAGTTGTCCAGCTAGTAAAGAATATAGAAATAAGGAAAGGGATGTGTAAATAAAGTGATAAAAATAGATAAAGTATGTTAAACACTAAGAATAAAAGGATTATTATTTGTAGCTTATAAAAAAATGTTCGATATTATAAAACAAGAAAAGACTTATTTGAATAAGATCAGACACAAAAACTAAAGATTTATTGATGAAGACAAGAGTTATTCTATTTATACTAAGTTCTGAATGCCAAATTAGCAATTTATCTTGTACAACGCTTATCACATCTGGTGAACCTCAGTATTTAGATAGCTGAGATGCACTTCACTTATCATAGCGTGTCCATGTTGTTGCACAACACAGACATATCTACCCATCAAGAATAACTTAATCTTTATAGACAGTTGTAGCCCTTCTGGCACAACAATCCTTCTTATATACTATAACAATGGATAAAAGTTCTATTAATTAGATTGACAAATAAGTCAACTCAGATCAACTAATGTCTAATCATGCTAAAAGACAACTCCAGCAAGCTAATCATGATTTAGCTTTGCCTGGACGAATAATTAGACTCCCATCCTAAGTACCCTGATCTATCCTTTCTATAAGGATAATTAATATCGATCTAGTAGCATGTATCCGATAGGTACAGTCTTCTTAGTCTATATTAATAGTACATATCTGAGTGTATATCGCTGAGCATACATCTTTAGCATGTATCTGGATATATGACATGTCTATAGCATATCGTATGCATGTCTATAGCATGTCTCATATATAGTACAAGTGTTAAGCACAAAGAATAAAAGGATTATTATTTGTAGCTTATAAAAAATGTTCGATATTATAAAAACAAGAAAAGACTTATTTGAATAAGATCAGACACAAAAACTAAAGATTTATTGATGAAGACAAGAGTTATTCTATTTATACTAAGTTCTGAATGCCAAAGTAGCAATTTATCTTGTACAACGCTTATCACATCTGGTGAACCTCAGTATTTAGATAGCTGAGATGCACTTCACTTATCATAGCTTGTCCATGTTGTTGCACAACATAGACATATCTACCCATCAAGAATACCTTAATCTTTATAGGCAGTTGTAGCCCTTCTGGCACAACATTGCCCCCCCAGATTCAGGTACTTCTTGTGGACATTTCGTAATCTCAGATTACAAAACATCATGACAATATAGCACATAAAGCACTTTCCAATAAATAATTACCAAATGACACTGCATCCGAGATCAGTCAGTAAAAACCTTGTGTAAAAACCTTTCATAGGACAAAAATGTAAGGAAAAGACTTGATCCCATCATGCTAGTAGCCATTTAAGACCTGTTTGATCTACCACTCTGACCAATTTCGCGAGTAGTAATAGTTCGCCAGTTAACTGTTTGAGGAGCTAACCTACGTTTACCAGCAGCCTTTGCACCTTCTCTTCGAGCCCAATACAACTCAATGTGTTTGGCCGAATCAAAGTTTTTCACAGGCTCCCAAGTATCTTCACTAGGATCATCGAACCCTTTCCATTTTACCTTATACTCATAGTTACCAGGAGATCCTCTATGATCAATCACAGCTTGAATTTCGTAATGCTCTGCAGAGAATTCATCAATTGTGATTGATTGAGGATTCGCAGCGACTTGGTACTTGATATGATGGGTAGGCACATCTCGACTAAGGAGTGCACCCGTCTTGTCAGCCAGCACATAGGAACCTTTATCGGTTATACTATGAATCAAATAAGGTCCTTCATACCGTTCATCTAACTTATTTTGACGATGAACATTTTTAATCATAACTTTACTACCAATAGGATAGGGTTCGGCAATGACCTTATGTTTCTTCGCAAAGTTAGCATGATCAGCATTTTGTGTATCCACAATACGCTTAGAAATAGCCGGGATAAGAACATCTTGTACAAAACGGTATCGTTTGTCAATGAGTCTGTTATCAGCTTTCTCCAAACGTTTGGAATAGTCCACCTTTGAGTAATCAGCCAGACCATTTGGTTGACGATTAAACAAAAGCGTATACGGACGAGATTTATGTAGCCGAGCATACTTGACATTGATGCAGTAATTCACCCACGGAATGAAGTGCTCCCATTGATCCCTCTTACCTTTTAGCAACTTGATAGTCGTTAACTTACATATTTTGATAAATGACTCAGAAACCGAGTTACCCAATGGATTGTACCCTAATGACAGGCGATGGTCTATCCCACTGATGTCCATCATAGCACGGACCACCTCATTTATCCATTCCAGGCCTCTGTCTGAAGTCAACTTGATTGGCCATCCAAAAAGTGAGAAAACTTGAAGCATTTCCCTGGCAATTGTCGTAGCCTTCTTGTCTGGAATGCATCTTATCACAGTAAATCTCGTAAAGTAATCAGTAAGGACAAATAGAAAGTTGCTGCCGAAAGAGCTAGTAACACCCATATCACCGAGATCCATGCACCAATGATCCAAAGGTTGGGCTGCATTGACACTACGGAAAGGATGATATCCCTCTCTAGCGATATTGTACCTGTTACACTCGTCACAATCAGCTAATATTCTTTCTATGTCTTTCCGAATGTTCACCCAGTGAAACCCTTCATGATGAATTGCAGTTTCAACATGTTTGATCCCAAAATGTCCAACCAGATGCTGAGCAATGATCATATTGTCTCTTTCATTAGCAGGAGGAGTGATATAGTCAGCAAACCTAAGCGTACGCA